TAGTGGTGATAGTCTATTTCATTAGGGTAGCTTTTACATCTTAGTGAGAAATGAAGTCTGGGAAATAAAGGACCTTGCTAAAGAGTTTTGCTGTTCTCTAAACCAGAGTTTCCCTGACATTAACGTGCACACGAGTCCTTTGGGAGTGCACTGAAATGTGCCTTGATTTAGCAGGTTTGTGATAGTTCTGCAGTTCTCACCAGTTGCCAGGGGTGCCAGAGACCACTTTGAGCGGAAGCATTTACTCTTGGGCGGGATTGTCACTGTCTCTACTATCCCTCACGGCCACCGCCAGATGGCAGCACGTCCCCCTCTCGAGCCGTTGCTCAGCTTTTTCTCAGGTTGTTTGTGATCTTTGTTTGATTCATCCCTGTGTGGCCCTTTAGAGTAAGAATAAATCTATGACTCTGAAGCCTTTTTCTCTGGTCTTGTTACAGGCAGGGGGAGGGGCACCCCAGAACTCCCAAAACCTGCCCCTTCTAAATAGGTTCTGCCATCCTCCCATCAAGACAATGCATACTCTAGTGCGTAAGACCTTGAATGGAAAGGAACTTTAATACAATTAGGGTGCAATAAAGAGAAGACAAAGAATATAGTTTCCAAATCAAGCACCCAAAGTTACCCATCCCCTTGTGGGTAAATGCCCAGCCAAACAGGATTGGCCCAGAGCAGGGCCACTGAGGCACGAAAGCCTGGCACAAGTCTAAGGCACCTTTGGCAGGAAACCATAGGAAAGGGGCAGAAGGAGCCAGACGAGTCTGGAAAGAAAAGAGCAAAATCAAAATCAAGATAAAAGCTGCCATTGTTAACCTCCCCACGGTCTCTCACCCATGTCTGTTTCAGCCAGTCCAAGACCAAGAAGCAAGTGCAGCTTCTTCACATGTCTCTGCTCCATGTGCCTCCTCCAGGTCTCTTTCTTGCTCTCCACACTTCTTCCTTCCTTCACCCTATTTTCTCTCAGCTTCTCCTCCTTCCTCCTCAGCTCCTCCCTTCCTTGGGTGGGGCAAGGAACCTGGAATCTCCCATTTTCCTGGAGACCACCCTGTTACAATCCTCCATCAGAGAATCAATTGCTTTTTGCTCTGCCCGTGCAGGACCCTCCAGCACATCAGAGTACACTGGAACTGGCTCTTTGTGTCAGTTTCTCCCAGAGATCCAGCCTCTGACTCAGGCTCTGATTTGGCAGCTGCATCCTTCAGCACCAGGCAGTGCCCTACTTTTAGTTTGCCCACATGGGGTATTGACTTACAGAATGCCCATCATACTTTTTCTTACAAAAGCAATATGATCTTTTTTAAAAGAAAATTTATAATGTATAGAAAAGGAAAACAAGCAAAACATATTATTTCTCTATAAACCCATCTGCCCTCCAAAATTAGTTTGTCTTGTTCACTGAAATAATGTTGCCTCTTAGGGCGGCAGCTTTGGGATTGGAGCAGGATGAGAGAAAGATAAAGTCCAAGTGGAGAGAGGCCTAGAGGGGCTGCCGCAGGAAGGAGCAGCCCCAACCCATGCAGTCTCATGTTTAATTAGAACTAGGATGTGAGAAGGTGGGCAGGTACTTGGGGAATGTACAGCGTGGGGATGGAGCTGGAAGGGATAACTCTGAAGTAAAAAAGTCAGGAGAAAGAAAAGTACTGGATGGTGTCACTAATGTGTGGAATATAAAGTAACTAAACTGAGAGTCAGAGAAAGACAAGCTGAAAAACTAACCCTTGCTGGCTGACTACAGAACTGAAGCACCAATGTTGGGGGGGCAGGGGTGGTGGTGGACTATGGGTGAGTGGGTTGTGGGCACACTATGGTCGTGATTCCTGTTAGGAAAGAGATGGAGGCCAGTCCTGGATTTCGGCACCAGAATGTTGGAAAAGAAAGGAGGCCAAGAGTATCCAACAAACGTGGGCTTTATTAAAAATTTGTGAGATGATGACTCTGCAGGCCAGAATCACGCCCCAAAATGGGAGCTCCAGTCTTTATAGGGTTTGGCCACTGCTAGAATTTTGGGTGTGTGTGGGGGGGTCTCTTCTGCCGGAGGGGGTCTGCTGGAGTTGTTTACGCTGGGGGCAGGTCTGTTGGAACTCTTTACTGTTGTCACCTTTATCTCTGATTTTGCTTATCTCAGGTTCCCTGGTGCCTAGTTGTGTGTGTGTGTTTGGGTGTGGGGGAGGTGTTTATGAGGGGCCTGTGTGTGCTCTCTTCAATACCTGATGGGGTTATCCCAATATTACCTCAATTAAAAATGTAAATGAATAAAACATATAAAGAAAAAAGAGCATGAAAGTAGGAAACTCCTTCATCTCTTCACAACTTGACAGCGCTGAAGCTGTGGGCCAGGCCCTTCCCATTGGGTGTGAAAACAAAGGCTCAGAACAGGTTTGTTAGAAAAGGGACAGAAGGGCCTCGCCTAGTGGCTCAGGGCTTGAGCGCTGGCTGCGAAGCTGTCCACAGCCTCTGCAGCGCCAGTTTGATCCCCGGCCACCGGCAAGGGTCCCACATGGCGCGCAGACCTCTCCTGCCGCGCCCGCTGCTCCCCTCGGCAGTGTATTTCGTCGTCTGCCTGTTCTGTTCCCTGCTCTGGCTCTGGTGAATTCTCTCACCCTCCTGTGCTTCTGACTGTACCCAGCGCTTGTATAAATAAATAAATAAATCTTAAAAAAAAAATAAAATAAAGCAACTGCATGGTTTAAAAAAAAGAAAAGAAAAGGGACAGAAGAGTAAAAGACACTTGCGTAGACACAAATGAGCAGGAAGTGCTGCCCGGAAAGGGACACGTTTGCTGAAAGAGAGGCCTGCATGGTTGCAGGTGGGCGGCTTTGAGGACAGCTGGCTCTGCTAAGGGAAGTCAGTGAAGAGAAGCCCAGCACTGTACAGGTCACAGGCAGGCAGGGAGCTGCTGTGCTGTGGAGTGAGAGAGTTGGTGAAAAGAAGCACCTGCATAATCACAGGTGGGTAGAAGTTCTGCTGCCCCGTGCCAGTGCAGAGACTGCTCTGATATAGACTTCTTCTCTTTGGGAGGGGCTCACTCCTTGTGAGCCTTCAGTTTCTGCCTGATTTTGGATAACTATGCTGCATCTGAAAGGGACCGGAGATTCTACAATGGGCTCAATCTCCATATCTTTACCTTTGGGTCTTCACTCTAGACACTCCCTACAGTGGTCTGATACCTGCTTGGATCTTATGTTTTGTAATCTAAGCATTGGCGCCTGAGGATCTTGGTTTCTATGGCTGGGTCAATGGCTATGTTAATCCCTTCTATCCCCACCTACTTGTGTGAGCCAGGTTTCTGGTCTTGTGGCACCACCTTTCCCCCTTTTTTTCTATTCTTGTCCTTCATCATTTTCACTGCTGGAGAGATGCCTCCTTCCTCTTGGTGTTGCAGAAATAAATTCTAGCCTTTTACCTAGGCAAGGGTAGAACAAGCGGTACTTTAGGAATGGTGAGGTTAGGAAAGCTTTATTACTCATGCATGAGGTCTCAGACCTGGGTAGTCCCATAAGGTCTGAGCACTGGTCTAGAGACAAAGAGTTTCTTTTATACACAACCACTTTACATTGATAAAGTTGGTGAGTTAGGGTACAAATCTTGACACAGGAAAAGGGGCAGGACACAAATCTTCCAGGATGGCCTGCTGCCAGGCCTTGTTTAGATATGCTTATTAAGGAAGCAAACTTATTATTTACTTTACATTTCCAGGTCTATGACTCTTTAACAGGGAAAGATTTCTTTTTCTTAGCAGTTCCTTTTCATTGGCTGTTTCTGCTGCTAGGACAGGAGGTTTGGGAGGTTGGCATGCACCTGGGCATCACCGTGGCCCTACACCGTCTTCACCATCAGTTTCCCTGAACTGCTCTATGGGTTATCTCCTGCTGCCAGACAAACTACCCCCCCACCTCAGTGGCTTCAAGCAACGAGCATTTATTTAGCTTGTGATCCTGCAGTTCAGCGATTTGGCTGGGCTGTTCTTGTGGTATTAACTCCTTCAAATGTCTGTAGACTTGCTGATCGTGGCCAGGCCCTTTCACATATATGCGACCCCATTTGGACAGCTGGACTAATTCACTCTTTTGTTCTCTGCTGTCCCTTATCCCGCATCAGACTAGCTTGGACCTGTTCATGTGGAAGGAGCCAGGGCCCCTTAAGCCTTGCTAGAGCTACACGGGACCTCTTGAGGCCTAGGCTTAGAACTGGGCACCAGACTCCACTGCATTCTGTTTATCACAGCAAACCATGTATGCAGGCTAGAATCAAGGATGGGGGGGGTGGTGTCAGTTTCCTCTCTCAATGGAAGTATAACAGGGTGGTCCCCAGGAAAGGGGGAGGTTCCAGGTTTCCTGCCCCACCCAAAAGGAGGGTGGAGCTGAGCAGAGAGAGGAGACTGAGGAAGGAAGGAAGCAGGATGGAGCCTGAAGGAGACCTGGAGGAGGCACATGGAATGGAGAGACATGTGAAGAAACTGTGCTTGCCTTTTGGTCGTAGACTGGGTGACAGAGATGTGGGTGAGAGACCCGTGGGGAGGTGACCATGGCGGTTTTTATCTTGATTTTGATTTTGCTCTTTTCCTTCCAGACTTGTCTGGTGGTTTCTGATCCTTTTCTGTGGGTCACCACTGGAAGATGCTTTAGACTTGTGGCAGTCTTGGGGGCCTTGCTCTGGGCCAATCCTGCTTAGGTGGACTTTTACCCTCTATGGGAAGGGTAACATTCGGTGCTTGATTTAGAAACTATATTCTTTGCCTTTTCTGTATTGTTTCCTAATTGTATTAAAGTTTCTTCCCCTTAAAGTCTTATTTTTTTTGTGTGTGTGTTGATGTGGAGGATGGCAGAACCCATTTTGAGCAGGCAGGTTTTGGGGGGTCTGGGGTGCACCTCTCCCTGCCCTTTAACAGAAGGAGCTGCAAAGTCACATGGCATATGCACTGAGGAGAGAGAATAGTCAGTTTTGCAGTCTGCCTCAGCAGTGATCTCTGTACTGAGTCAGCATCATCTGGTGTCTTTTTGCAGGACTAAGCAATCGTGACGGACCCTCAAACGAAAGCGACATCTTCCGGAGAACCTTGGAGCAGCTGGTGAAGTACATGAACTCTGGAAATGGGATATCGCTTAAAAACTTTCTGAAGCAAGATGTCGTTCAGAGGTTCTTACGCCTCCTTTCTTCTATGCAAGGTGATTATTCTCTCAACATTCAATTGTGTTAGAGATGATGTATGCACATAAAACTCTGCTAATATCCTTTAAAAATTAATTTAAAAAAGAACTGTCATGATCTACATGTAAAACGTTCAAACAGCACAAAATATTCTTCAGTGAAATGTCTATCATCCACCCCTGAACTTCTAGTCCTACCCCCACGTGACCTCTGCTACTAGTTTTTCATGTGTCCTCCTAGACTTCTGCTTTGCTTATACAATCACTTTGAAAATGATGGCATAATTGTAGGTTTTTGGGCCTAGTCTCCCAGCCAGGAATGCTCCCAGGCTGCAAGGGCAGCAATGAGTCCCAGCAACTAGACCACCACGGGTTGATGTCTCATGAAGCTGCAGCAGGAACTTCACAGATGCTCAGGCAAGCAAGAGAGAAGAGGCAGGTTTGTTTAGAGAAAGAAGTTTATTGAGGAGAAAAAGAACAGAAATAAAGTGGGACTCCCAGGCCATGGAACCATGCCAGGGAGTGACAAGGAAGCCAAAGTGGAGTCGTGTCTCAGGGAATATAGACCTTCTTTCCCTCATTATTCTGAAGCTCCACCAGTCTCTTTGTGATTGGTTGGTTCTTGGTGGTCTCACTTAATCTGCTACTGGGGCGGGGGTCTTCACATTCCTTATGTAACAGGTTTGTCTCTCCCCGTTTGTTGCATCTTCCCTCTTGTTTGATAGATTTATCTTTATGACCCAGTCTCCCAGATGAGAATCCCTGCATTTTAAGGAAGAGAAAGTCAAACATCAGCTATTGAAGAAAAACAGGCTGGCACCCACTGGTCTCAGTGCTGACCCCTTCCCATCTCCCCCTTGCATAAATTTCCCTGCACTCTGTCATAGGGCAGGACGGTGGTCTTCCAGACATGAGTCTGCTGCCCTCCTAATGTGTCAACAAATTAAACCACTCTCCTTTTCCCCAAACTCTGCCTCCCTTTATTGGCTGAGGGAAACTGAGGCTGGGGTTTGGTAACAATGTTGACCTTAGTCCTGGGATGTTTATTATTCCCAGAAGAATTAGTTACATTCCTTTTGTTGTCCTTATCTCTGGAGCCTTCCTTAACTCTCCAGAGGTCCCCACCTGCACTGTCCTTGAGGCTGCCTAATTCTCCCTAACTTGCCATAGGACTCAAAAATACCACAGATGTTTCTCTTCTGTAGATACTTGTTAATATTAGAATATAAAGTTTTATAGATTGAACACTAATTTTTTCATTATCGGTGAAAGGTTCGGCGCGGTGAAGAAAAGGAGAGCCGGGCTAAATTTCTCAGAGGAAGGGAAAGTTTATTGCGCCCCGGGCGGACATCACGGACCCAAGGTGGGGGTCAGTGAAGCCGTGCACATTGTCAGGGGGAGGCAAGGTTTTATAGGGTGAGGAAAGGTCAGGTGGGAAACTGGGTTCCTATGGCAGGAAAAAGTTTGCAGGGGTGGGGTGGGGGTAGGGGGTAGTTTCTTTGTCTGAATTCTCTAGGCAGGCTTAGGCATTCCTGTTCCCTGGTGGGTTTTTGCATTCCAGCCTCCTGCATGGACCTTTCAATTGGAAAAATCAGGAAACTTCTCGGAAAGATCTTAGATGACATTCTTTAGTAATTAGGGAAGATTCTAGAAATCTAAGTAGGTGAAATTTAGTATTTTTTAAAATAGTTGGTATGGTGGAGTGGAACTATTTTGCAGGGCTGAGATTTCTCATGGAGAAGATAGGAAGCAAATTACTTTCATTTAGGTGACTCTTGTCTTCTCCCCTTCTTCCATTCCTCTCAGCTTTTTTTATTGGCAAGGTTACCACACAAAATGCAGAATACTAGTTGACTTTGAATTTTAGATAAACAAGGGGGAAAAATTTCAGTATGTTCCAGATATACTAATATTTTGTTTACCAGGAATTCAAATTTAACTGATGTCTTATAATTTTAATTGCTCTATCTGGCATTCTCATTACTAAGAGTCTTTCCAAAAAATTTCCACTAATAAGATGCACCAGCAGGATGAACTGGGACAACCATTATCCTGTCTCCAGACATCACAGGTCAGATGGAAGCACTTATACATTGTGATAAAAAACAAAGAATTGGGATTAAACCATCCTTTCACCATCACCCAGCAACTCTTGACTTTTTAATTATTCTCTAGGATCTCCCTGTGTTTCAAGATTCCTTAAATAGGACACACTCTTAATATTATGCATAGTGTAAGCTGAGTTGATGGCCCAAGTCAATATTCTTCCTTAAGCACAATCACTGTTCTGTTCTCCTTTTCAAAGGGCATTTTTCACCTTCCCAAGAAGCTCACAGACAGCACTTACATTGACATTCACGAGTGGCATTAATTACTTCTTATAGTTTCCCCAGTGCCTAAAAATACCAGTTGCGTTAATTAAGCACATAGGTGTTGGGTTGTAGTTGATGACAGAAATCATATGAACCTTTTTCTGGAATGTGGTGTATTCTTATTTTTGAAAGAAATTCCTCCTGACCTGGTTTGGGACATTAATGGAAACTATGCCAAAGCCTGCATCAAATTTTTACTGGAAAAGCAGAAGTGGCCAGAAGTGCTCCTGTTGCTGACCCGCAAAGTGAGCGGGGAGCCCCCGCTAGGAGAGGGCTTCATTCCAGACTGCAGCTTCTCAGACTTCGACCTCTGTGGCTTCATCCCCCACCTCATTGCCTGGGACCAGCGGAGGATCCTGCTACTGGGCCTCCTGATAGACAGCGGAGGTGAGCATGTGCAGACGTGACCCTGGAGCGCTGTCCATGGACCTGTGGCCCCTGTCACCAGAGACTTTTGGAGACGCCTTTATTTTATTTTTTTTAAGATTTATTTATTTATGCATGCACGAACTGGGGTGTGTGCCAGAGGTGCAGGGGATGGGAGCTAGGGTGAGAGGATTCACCAGAGACAGAGTGGGGAGCAGAACAGGCAGATTGACTGAAATACACTGCTGAGGGGAGCAGCAGGCAAGGCAGGAGAGGTCTGCTGCGCCATGTGGATAGCTCCCTGGCCTGCCGGGGATCTAACTTGTGCTGCAGAGTCTGCGGATAGCTTCACAGTGCTGTGCTTAATCCCTTGCGCCACCAGGGAGGCCCTGGAGATGCCTTTAAATTTTGCCTCCTCCTCTTGCATCAAGTCTTCTTGCTCTGAAGCCATGGTGGGGCTAGCCCACGCTGGCAGTTGGTGTAACCCTGTAGGAACTCTGCACCTTTGTGAATTCCACTTAACCTCTATTATCTTCTCTGTCTCTTGGGTGAGAAGCCGTGGGTATGTGGAGGATGCTTGTTTCTGGCTTAGCCCACAGTACTCATTTCTGTTTCCTGCTGAGTCCCCTCCCCTCTACTCAACTTTCGTGGGTTCTAAGCAACTCTGTGGCATTCTTTTCTAATGAGCAGATTGGGATTTGGAAGCTTGTTTTTAAAGTAACAGCCAAATAATTGGTGGGTGGACACATCTGCTGCTTTAATCAGCAAAGTCACACTTGACTGGATATGTGTCTGGAGTGCACAGACATCTTGCTGGATTGGGTTTTATTTGAAAACTAATTTAGAATCACCAACATCCTCCCACTCCCCCTCCCCCTCCCTGCAAATGCCATTACTAGCTGTGTGGCCTTGGACATGCTATTTTTGCCTCCCTGGCCTCATTTGTAAAACAGGAATGGTAATAGTCTCTCTTTCTTGGGGCTGTTTTGCATATTAAATGAGTTCCTGTTGCAAGCTCTTGGGCGTGTGCCTGGGCTGTTCCTGCTTGCTTGCCTTCTGCTTGCTTTTAGGGGAAATGCCCTTCACAGGAGTATCACCCCTGGGTCCTATCCTAGGCTTTCAAAATACCAACCAAAGTATTGGCTTCATTCAAGGCCATCAGAGGCGAATGGAAGCCTCTTACAGTTTATTTGTACAAACCCATTCCTTTTGTGGAGTGTTATTGTTACATATACACCTCCTTTTGGGGAGGTACCGAGTGTCGTCCCCCCCCCCCCCATTTACATGCAGCTGCCTTGGACTGGCTACTGGAAACAGGGCATGGATTTGAGCAGCCAGGTGGAGGTGTAAGGCAGGCCACCTAAAAAAAAGGTTTCTTGTTCTGGGCCCAACTTGCACTCTGGTACTGCTGGGAAGGAGACATTGAAGGAGACATGTGGAGGAGAGTCATGTAGAGACACCTGGAGACACACATGGGTGAGAGACATGTGGGGAGCTGACAATGGCAGCTCTTATCTTGATGTGGTCTCTCCTTCTATGCCAGCTTTCTGGGTCCTGCTTCAGAATCCTTTCCCTATATTCCCTATATTCTGCTAAGGCAGAAGTTACCTTAGCCTTATGGCTAGCTTTTGGGCAAGCTTTTGGGCCTCTGGCCCCACTTCAGGCCGACCCACTTTGGGCATTTGCCCACAGATTTGGATAATTTGGGGTATTTTATTGAAAGAAGTTTCCTTTTCCTCTCTCTCTCTATGCACACTGACTCCGTTAACGTCCTTTCACTCTATAAGAGTCTGCTGCCTTGGTCTTTATTTATTTATTTTTAATTTTTTTTGTTGTTGTTGTTCTTTTTTTTTTTTTTTTTTTTTTTTAAATAGAGGCATGTTTTATTTATTTATTTGTTTGTTTGTTTTTGTTTATACAAGCACTGGGTACAGTCAGAAGCGCGGGAGGGTGAGAGAATTCACCAGAGCCAGAGCGGGGAGCAGAGCAGGCAGAAGGACCGAAGCACACTGCTGAGGGGAGCAGCGGGTGGCAGGAGAGGTCTGCACGCCATGCGGGACCCTCCTCCGGTGGCCTGGGCGCAGCCGGGGATCGAACCGGTGCCGCAGAGGCCACGGGCAGCTTCGCAAGCCAGCGCTCAACCACTGCACCACCGGGGAGGCCCCTGCCTTGGTCTTTATACTGCGGATGGCAGGACGCTTTTACACCATTTGCCCCATTTGTTTGGGGTCTCTGGGCACCCCTTGGTCACACTCTAATGTTACTACTTCTGCCTGGAAACTATGGCCATTGTGGATTTCTTTGCTCCCAGGATTCAGCAAGTACTTATTGAGCAAATCTCTGGGCTCAGGGGCCATGAACAGAAAGGAATTAATGCAGGCTGCTGGGGGCAAGTGCAGCAGGGTCAGGGTGCCTGTAGTATGAGGGAATGTATGGACTAAGTAAAGGAAGGTGATGTGGGGGCTGAGAAGTGTGGGGGAAGATGGCAACTGAGGGCACATGGCCATTCCCCAGTAGAAGCTGGCAGAAGAAGCTCTGGTGTCCTGGTCGCTGACTGGGCATCAGGGCCACTTCCTCCATCCCGATTCAGGTGTTCATGGCTCCCCACTTCAGGGCAGTGCTGAAGGGGGAAGGCCCTTGGTCCTGTGGGGCATGAGGGGGCAATGGGGAGGTGGGAGAGGCAAGGCCTACCTGGGCAGGCGAAGGAGCTGGCCTTTCACCCTGAGGTCCGTGGAAGCCCCTGCCGCCCAGGAAGGCGGTGGTAGGAGAGACTCAGAAGTGGCTGGTGTCTACTCTGCTCTTGGACTCAGGAGCAGAAGTGCCTGCCCTCCTCAGGTGAGTGGCTGAACCCATCAGGAGATGTAACTCACAAGTGCCCTTCCCCTCTGTCCCCCTCCCCCAGTCTTGCCCCAGGGTCTTGGGGCGAACCAGAAGAGACCGATCACCGTGTGCCTACAGCATGAGGACTTCGAGTTGGCTTTTCTACTCTTGACTAAGAATGCAGACCCCCATGGTATTTCTCTCAGGGAAGGGGATACTCCTTTGCATGCTGCACTCCACATCTATTTAGAAGACAAAGGTAAGCCTTTATTTGTTAACTACTCTTGCACTCAAGGAAGCTGGATATTAGAACCAATGCTGTGCATTCTGGTCTTTACCGTCAGGAAGACCAACCATCTGGAAAAACTCATTTCTTGGCCAGTCGTCCCCTTGTCTCCTGGCCCCTCACCCATAGCTTGATGGGGTGAAGTGACCTTCATGTTAGTGATCGGGGTGTTGATAGAGGATTCTTAAGTTTTAAAGTTGGCAGTCCACAGCTGATAAGTATTATCCATTTATAATTTGTCACAGTACTAAGTGTATATAAATTACATACTAAATAAATGGAAAGTTATTTCTGAGTACCATTTTCAAGGGACCAGATATAAAGTATCTTACTGGAATATTATAAGGTGATTTCTCCATCTTGCACTATTGACATTTGAACTAGATAATTCGTTTTGTCAGGGATGGTCCTGTGCATTGTAGGACATTTAACAGTGTCCCCTGCCCCCCCACCCAGTAGCTCCTTCCTAGTTGTGCCCATCAGTAATGCTCCAGATGTGGCCGGATGTCCCTGGGGAGCAAATCACCCCCCAGTTGAGAGTCACTGGACTATTTCATGTGTATTAGATACTTGGGAAAGTTCAGTGTTCTGAGGTGCTGCAGACTGGCATGTCTTTCTAATGCAGGGGTCTTCTGTCCCCAAGAAGGGCAGCTCAGTACTCACAAGGCTTTGTTGTCTTTCAGCTGACATCGGCTTAGACTTCCTCAGCCACCTGTTGGATCTCTACTTGTCCGACCCCAAGGAATTTCACTACCTCAACCCCAACATCCAGGACAGCAATGGGAACACGCTGATGCACATCCTCTTCCAGAAGGGCATGCTGAAGCGCGTGAAGAAGCTGCTAGGGCTACTGGCGAGGTTTGACATCAACTTAAACCTGAAGAACAGGGAAGGTAAAGATGCACGGCACCGGGTTAAGAAGACTGACGCTCTGCTCCTGGCCTGGAACAAAGCTGTGGTAGAGAACAAACGCAGGAGCCGGCAGGATGCCTCTGCCCACTCAGGGAAGCTCCCGAGGTCCACCACCCCTGGCCGCACACCTCAGCTCAAGTCCCAAGGTTTACTCAAGTCGTCACCATGCAATGCCCCTGCCAAATCCCAGCCCAAAGGAGCTGTAGTCCCAGAGAGCTGGGAGACTCTCCCCAATGCCCAGGGGACGAGGCAGGAGCCTGGTGATGTCGGGCCCTGCTCTCTGAGAGACCGTCTTATACAGGACATCACAGGTCTGATGCAGCGTCTTGAATTGGATGGGTCCCTCCCAGAGAACTGTCCTCTGGGCTCCCAGCCTCTGGAGGCAGGGGCTGGCATGGAAGTAGAGAAAGACAGGCTCCAGGGAACCCTGAGGGCGGGGGGCCCTGGCTGTAGTGGGAGCAGCCCTGCCGTCCTTGAGGCAGAGGAAGGACATGCTCAGGCAGGCCTTGGGGCCTCACGGCTTGTTCCTGAGGGTCACAGAGGGATGGAGAACTGCCAGGGCCAGGATGACCAGAGCACACAGGAGACCGAGGCCTGCCTCCAGGACTTCGATAACATGACATGGGAGATTGAGTGCACTTCAGAAATTCTCAAGAAACTGTCCAGTAAGGTAATGCCTAAGGTGATGAAGAAGAAAATCATCCTGGCCATCCAGCAGCTGGGGAATGGTGAGTGGACCCAGGGTCTGCAGAAGCGACTCAAGAAACTGGAAGGAAACATCCATCTCTTTGAGGCCAAGCTGGACAAAGGAGCCCGGATGCTGTGGGAGCTGGCCATCGACTTCTCTCCTAGATGCAGCGAGAACCCAGACAAGATCATCACCATGGAGAGGAACTCACATTCCACAGAGAAATCAGGACGGGTGTACACGGAAATCATTCGGATCTGGGACATTGTCTTAGATCACAAAAAACTGAATGGCTCCATCAGGGCCATCTGTAGTGCCTACAACCGGGGCTTGTCCTGCATCCTGCGGAAGAAGCTGAAGGGTATCAACAAAGGCCCGGTGTTGGCCAGCATGAAGACTCAAAGGCGGATACCCCGCTGCTACGTGGAAGACACGGAGGCAGAAAGGAGCAGGGAGCAGGTGGAACCGGAGTATTTCCCCCCCGCCAGCGCAGTGGAGACAGAGTACAACATCATGAAGTTCCACAGCTTCAGCACCAACATGGCCTTCAACATCCTCAACGACATGACCACAACGGTGGAGTACCCCTTCCGGGTGGGTGAGCTGGAGTACTCAGTGATCAACCTCAACCCCAAGCCGCTGGAGCCCATCATCCTCATTGGCCGGAGTGGCACTGGGAAGACGACTTGCTGCTTGTACAGGCTGTGGAAGAAATTCCACAATTACTGGGAAAAAGCTGAGCAGGCGGGAAGCCCGCTGCTGGCCAAACAGCTCTGGTTGAAGAGAAGATTGGAAATGGAACCCAGAAAGGAGGATCCAGGTGGTGAGGAAGAGGAGGGAGCTGAACCTGAGGAACTAGAAGGTTCCATCGAAGTGGAAACAGGCGACAGCTCAGATGAGGAGGAGGCATGCGAAGACTGTGCAGGGGGAGCCAGCGCGGACTCAGTAGGCCATGGCCAGGCAGAGGAGGGATGCGCTGCCCAGAGCCCCCAGCAGCTGGAGCATTTACATCAGATCTTCGTGACCAAAAACCACGTCCTGTGCCAGGAGGTGCAGAGGAATTTCGTTGAGCTTTCCAAGTCCACCAAGGCCACCAGTCACTACAGGCCCTTGGAGCCCAATGTTCACAGACTCCAGGACCTGAGGGACGAGAACTTTCCTCTCTTTGTCACTTCCAAGCAGCTGCTGCTGCTCCTGGATGCCTCACTGCCCAATCCGTTTTTCCTGAGGAACGAAGATGGCAGCTTGAAAAGAACCATCGTGGGGTGGTCCATGCAGGAGGAGCCGACCATCCCCAATTGGCAGGAGGAGGGTGAGGAGGGAGAGGCGCAAGGGGACTATGCTGAGGAGGATAAAGCTGCGGCACCTCTGGCGGGCGAGTGTGACCCCCGGGTGTACATAACATTTGAGGTGTTCGCCAATGAAATATGGCCCAGAATGAACAAAGGGAAGACTTCCTACAACCCTGCACTGATTTGGAAAGAAATAAAATCTTTTCTGAAGGGGTCTTTTGAGGCCCTCAGCAGCCCCCAAGGGAGGCTCACAGAAGAAGCCTATAAGAATTTGGGGAGGAAGCGGTGCCCCAATTTCAAGGAAGACCGCAGTGAGATCTATAGCCTCTTCTGCCTGTATCAGCAGATCAGGTCTCAGAAAGGTTATTTTGATGAAGAGGATGTTCTCTACAACCTCTCCCAGAGGCTCTCAAAGGTCAAGGCCCTCCCGTGGTCCATCCATGAGCTCTATGGTGATGAGATCCAGGACTTCACCCAAGCCGAACTGGCGCTGCTGATGAAATGCATCAATGACCCCAACGCCATGTTCCTCACCGGGGACACGGCCCAGAGCATCATGAAGGGTGTGGCCTTCCGCTTCAGCGATCTGCGCTCCCTGTTCCACTATGCCAGCAAGAGCTCCGCCAACAAGCAGTGTGCTGTCCGCAAGCCCAAGAAGATCCATCAGCTCTACCAGAATTACCGGTCACACTCTGGTAAGTCTGGATCCAGGCTCACCCCTGAGGAGGTGCCTGGGCACTAGACTGGGGCTGGCTTTGAAGCTGGTGCCTAGAGTTTGAGGTTTCTGCAGCTGAAGTGAGGACAGTGTTTTAGAGTTTCTTTGTAAACCATTAGAATCCACACATGATCAAGAGATCTTGGGATTTCTGCGGCCACTTAGGTTGAAAAATTCAGGCTGTGGGTGGATAGAAATGGACCTTTAAGTAATTACATCTCACATGTACCTGTTGATGTTTATTGTGAATACATGCTGTTTAGTGAATATTTTCCCCGTCTTTTTTTTGGTTTTTAAATTGAGATTTGCATAGCATAATGTTAACCTGTTTAAAGTGTGTGTGTTTATTTATTTATTAAAGATTTATTTTTATTTTATGCCTACAAGAACTGGGGTGGAGGCCAGAGATGCAGAGGGTGAGCTGATTCAGAGTGGGGAACAGAACAGGCGGATCTACTGAAATACATGGCTCAGGGGAGCAGCTGGCGATTCAGGAGAGGTCTGCTGCTCCATGTGGGTCAACTCCCTGGCCTGGGATCGAACTCATGCCACAGTGGCTGGTGATAGCTTGATAGCTTAAAAGTGCTGAGACATTAAGCCCTGCTCCACTAGGGAAGCCCCTAAAGTGTATAGTTTAAAATAAAATAAAACGTGCAGTTTAGTGAGTTCACAGGTATGCAACCATTACTGCTAATTCCACAACATTTTCATCACCCTCCAGAAAAACCCCATAGCCATTAGCAATCACTCATTCTCTGCAACTCCCCTACCCCCAACCCCCTTCTCCCCAACTATTGGTCTACTTATGGATTTGCCTGTTCTGGGAATTTCATATAAATGGAATCATACAATACATAGCCTCCTGTGTTTGGCTTCTTTCATTTAGCGTAATATTGTCAAGGTTCATTTATATGAAAAGTATTTATCTAGTTCCTAGAAGATCATTTAAATAAATTCCAGTTTTTCACTGCAACCAGCACTTTTCTGCCCTTTTCTGATTTTTCCATTGATGTAAACCTCTGTCCTTGCTAGCACCATGGCCCCAGCTGATATCCTTAGATTCAGGTTTCCACTTGTGCTCATGATCTCTTTGCCTTAGTTACTTTTAAGAATATTAGTGTTGGGGGCCTCCCTGGTGGCACAAGGGGTTAAGAATCAACCTGTGAAATCACCGCAGCCTCTACAGCACAAGTTCCATTCCCGACCAGGGAGGTGACCCACATGGCGCAGCAACCTCTACTGACTCGCCTGCTGCTCCCCTCAGGAGTGTATTTCATTTGATCTGCCTCTTCTGTTCCCTACTCTGTCTCTGGTGAATCCTCTCACCCCGCCAAAACTCTGGCCTGTACCCCCGTTCTTGTATGTATAAATAAATAAATCTTTTAAAAAAAATGTTAGTGTTGGAGAGTAAAATTTCCCTTTCCCGTTTGGTCATAGCAGTGGGGACACCTATGCTCATTTCATGGTGTGCCAACAAGGACATCGTAGGCTACCTGGTATTAGGCTATGGGCATGTGCCCCCAAGAATTGTGGTGAGCTCTAGAATGGTCTGTCCACTAGACTTCAAACTTTGCTGCTTGGAGATGTTTATTAAACTCTTGGACCATGGAGTCCACGTATAAAAGTGAGATTTCTGATCTGTCTCATGGCTGCTGTGAACAGTGACGGGATGATTTTATGAGGTGGCTGCTGCTTGGGCAAGGAATGGGACCCAGGGAGAGAGCTCTTTGGAAAACTCTTTCTCCAGCTCTGTCAATTTTTCTTGGTGTACTCCTCTCTCGGGTGGGCATAGACCTCATGGTAAAGGGCAAAGGAGGTCGTGGTTGCTGCCCCCACTAACACCCAGCTGCTGTTACCATGGTAACATTAAGTCCAATGCTCTAAGCACCAGTGAGAGGAAAGATCTTGTTTCCTTACCATCTACACTAGTCCTTTATATTAGCAGCTCTTATTGTTCAGATTACATTTCAGTCTTAACTTGTCTTTAGGAGGTGATTTTCGTTGGGTGGGAATGAGATCTCCCCAGGCCTTAGCACTGTAACACATCTCTGCTTTCATCGAGGGTACCCAGAGTAATGAGGCTCAAGGCCAGCATGTTATTCTAATGGGAACTAGAAAACAGCTTGCAATTATACAATATACTCTCAATACTGCTTCTCAGGAAAACAAAACAAAACCCCCTAAACATCCCACCAAAAAAACTGCAGTCATGTTGCCAGGTTGTCCAATATCAGACATGTTTTTGCTTTATCCCAGGAATTCTCAAACTGGCATCTGGAGTAGTGGACTTACTCCAGTTCTATTTTCCGGAATCTTTTGATCGTCTTCCAAGAGATGCTGGCCTTTTTGATGGTCCCAAACCAACTGTCCTGGAGTCTTGTAGTGTAAGCGACTTGGCAATTTTGCTACGGGGGAACAAAAGGAAAACCCAGCCCATTGAATTTGGAGCCCACCAGGTGAGTGCCTGGGGATTGTATACTTTGAAATAAAAGGCAAATTGCAAGAGAAAAAGGTCTGAGAGGCTGAATGATTCCATAAGGTGGAATTAATAGCACTGTCCCAGAATGCATAAGTTCCAGAGATGGGCGAGTGGCCATCATTAATCTTTCCACAAGTCTGGCTGACCAAGTCCATGTTAGGCATTTCTCTTAAAAACAATACCAACCTCGGGGCCTCCCTGGTGGCACAAGGGGTTAGTTAAGTCACAGCACTATGAAGCTATCCGCAGCCACTGCAGCATGGCACGAGCAGGGAGCTAACCCACATGGTACAGCAGACCTCTCCTGTCTTGCCTGCTGCTCCCCTCAGTCAATCTACCTGTTCTGCTCCCCACTCTGTCCCTGGTGAATCCTTTCATACCCTGCACCTCTGGCCTACACCCCAGCTCTTGTATGCATGAATAAATATTTTTTTTAAAAAAACCAATACCTACCTCTCATAGAATAGGCTGAACTTTATCAATTTTTCATTGCTGAATTTGATGGTTTTCTCTCCATCCTTCCCCACCAACCTCCAGGTTATTCTTGTAGCCAATGAAATTGCAAAGGAGAAAATTCCGGAAGAGCTGGGCTTAGCACTTGTGCTAACAGTTTATGAAGCAAAAGGCTTAGAATTTGATGATGTTCTCCTTTACAACTTCTTTACTGATTCTGAGGTATGTCTAACTGAGTTCTTTTCACACACGCATGTCTAAGTATGAGCTACACTTCCACTCCGGGAAAGAGAATTTGGAGCTAAGTAGAGGACAGTTTGTCACAGGTACCTATTTCTGTTTGCACCATCATCCATTGGTTGTGGGGCTTTGTGTGTTTGGGTGTGGGTTTTGGCAGTGGCTATGGCTTGTTTCATGTGTGCCTTTGCTGGTTCTCCCTGTGCCCTGCCCTGCACTCTTGTATTCATCTTCTGGGAATGCCTGGTACCCAAGTGCCAGTTTCTGGTTTTCTCTAGCTACTTTATCCTTGATTCCTAAGGATGCTCAAGTTGGAGTGAGCTCCAAGGAAGCCTTACAAATGAAGGCAAGGTATCCATGTTCACCCTGGGAGGACAGAGCTGGGCAAGGTCAGTTCATAGAAAGAGACGGCTCGAGGAGGACGAGTGAGGCTTGGTTCCTGCCCACTGGTTCAGGTAATGCGGGGATCACCAGCTGCCCTGCCTGGGCCATCCCTTCTGGCATGGCTTCTCCACCGCTGCTTGCCCTCCATGCAGTTCATTGCAGCAAGAGAGTCCCGGATTGAGCCCCAGAGACCTCTGTGCCAGCCCACGCTCTGACTTGGCTCCCAGGTCTATGTGACAGTCTTCCTGCACCAGCTCAGCACCTTGTGGGTGCAGCCACCCACGCAAGGCATTCTCCTTGGTTTTCTAGCCACTTTTTCTCTTGACTGCTGTCTATTAGAGGGGACTTGGGCTGGCTGCTGACCGTGCTGTGGGGTCTCTTTGGGGACTTAAGCTGGCTGTGTTCTGGCCCCTGTTGCGGAAGTCCCTTGGCACATGGTGCATGCTTTAAGGGGCTGTTTTTCATCTCCAAGTCAGGACATTGTTAGTTTTGACGCCTTGTGATCTCTGCCCTGACCCTTTTTGGAGTTCTTTTGTTTTCTTTCTGTTCTTTAAAAAAATGTCATGTTGGCCTTGGTAATACCTACAACTAATATTGCTATGGGTGTTTTACAGTTTATCAAGTATTTTTGAGTACGTTGTCTTATTTCATCCTCCACCAACGTTCTGTGGTTGGATATCTATTTGTTACCCTCATTCTAGAGAGAAAACCGAGGATCACAGAAATCAAGTAAATTGCCCATAGTCATACTGTAGGTAGCAGAGCCCGAGGGACCTCTAATGCTTTTTTTAGTTCTAAATTTTATGATCCTTCCATGTAAAGCATGCAAACTGACTTCCACGATGAGTATATATCATTCCTGTACCTGAAGTGCATTTATTTCTATTGGCTTTTGCTAATAAAATCAGATAGTTTCATTAACACTGGAGCTCTTTTTTTAATCTCTGAGGACTAACCTTTTCTTCCCTCATGATACATCCATTGGTTCTGGTGGGACCGAGACTCTCCTAAAAGAGAAAGGGGTAAGCTCTTATTCCTGTCTCTCATGAGTGCCAGTTGTCTGCTTGTGCCAGTGACAACCTCAAGGCTCACTGCACTTATGGAGCCATAATTTGTGGTTGACTCTGGAAAAGAAAAATCCATGCATTCTGTCTCACCTTGATCCTGGACATGGCAAAGGTCTGGGTTTCTTGGCCTTACACTCCCACCCACAACTGAGTGAGTTGCATCAAATGAAAGTGATTGAGATCGAGTCTTTCAGTAACATCCACTTCATCCTATGTGCACAACAAGTCTTCTAAAACAGCTTGCTTGCAACATGGAACATCCCCAGGTACCGGGGAGTGTAATGATGAATTCCTGGCACAAAATACACCTTGAATTTATCACTTACAACCTCACCACCAAAAAGTGTCAGTCAGCAAATAAGACAAAATGCTTTCATTAAAGCAGAGGAAAGCCAGATCAGTAAGTTCCCAGGTGCCTATGGTATCTTAATGCTCATCTGGATACGTTTTCAGGGTAACTGGCTGAAGGCTGCTGAATACAGAGAGGCGCTGCAGAGGGCTCCCCTCACTGTCTCGGCTTCTTCTACCATCTTCTATTTCTGTGTGTAGGGCCGTTCTTTTTGCCCTTGTTTGTGACTCTTCTCTAGAGGATTTGTTGTTACCTATTTAACAACTTGGTTACCAGGGCCATCTTCAAGATCAGGAAGGAGGACCTCCATGGTGGCTCAGGGGTTGGGTCTTGGTGCTGTCACGCTATCGCTGGTCTCTGCAGCATGGATTCAATCCCTGGCTACGGAGCTGGCCCACATGGCACAGCAGACCTCTCCTGTATTGCCCGCTGCTCCCCTCAGCAGTGTATTACAGTCAGTCCACCTGTTCTCTTCCCTACTCTGTCTCCAGAGAATGCTCTCACCCCCAGCACCTCTGGCCTATATCCCAGTTCATGTATGCATAAATAAATAATTTTTTTTTAAAAGTAATCATTATAAAAAAAAAAGATTGTGAAGGAACCAGGGAATAGTTATTCCAAATCCTCTCCTTGTAGGGTTTTGCCTCTTTTTGGGGAAGGACAGTCATTCTCCTAGTCACTCCTAAACTCTCCTCCTGTTTGGACTTGGAAAGGTGTCTGTTATTACACTGCCCCAGTGGGGGGCGCCTTTCCTTCATACTCATGTGTGGCTAGGACAGGAGAGACTTTGAAAACCACATCCTTTATGGGTTGTTACAGAACAGACCTCCCAACATAGCCTTGCTAGGAGCATCTAAGCCATTTTCCTTTACAATTATCAGTCCTAATGAGAAGAAGCCAGAGCCTTAAATGCTTTTTCCTTTATTGTCTGAAGTGCCACAGGCCTGTACTGTTGCCACAAATGCACTTACTCACTCCTAAAAGGCTCTGTCTTGAAAATCAGATGTGTTTTATTCATGGAGACCAGCTACTCTGTGTTATTTGAAAGCTTTTGATTTCAAATAAAAGTCCTTTAGCACTTTTAAAATGCATTGTGTTTCCAAGATTCCTCCAAGGTCAACCTGTCTCTGTCTCTTGCTGCCTGCCAAGAAATCCTCTTAATTGTCAGGCACTTGTGTCTTTTGCCTGCTTTCTGCAAACAAATCAGTTTTGTAAACAGCTTTACAAAGAGGATAGTCATAAATATGTCCCGAAAATGTTTTTTTTTTAACTTCCAGCTACTTAAGTGATGACATGATTCACTTCTCTTTTCAGGATGTGGTGATTAATCCAGAGTTGGTTAATAACATAACATTATCATTTAATAGACAGTATTTAAAGCATATAAGCTAAATTTTATATAATTTAAGTTAGGGAGTAACTTAAAGGAGGTAATGATGTTCCCTCTATCTTCTCATCATCCTTGAAAAGATACGTAGGAGTTAAGTAGTCCCATGGTGTAAATGGAAAAGTAAAGGCTAGGAATGTTGACTAACTACTCCAACAAGCCCAGTAAAGACTGAAATCTGAAATTCCTTAGGAATTCTGAACAATAAATATTGCATGTGATTTGGCCGCTTTAGCTTTACTTAGATCTGCAAACCCTGGTCCATGGGTCAAATTCAGCCCACTGCCTATTTTCATATGAACTAAGGATGGGTCTTACATTTTTAATGATTGACAATGAAAATTGTCTTACTTCAATTTTAGTATCCCAAAAGAATGTTCTATTAGAACTCAGCTTGCCGGGTCATTTACACGTGGCTAGGGTGGCTTTTGCACTGTTAACAGCAGGGTTGAGTGATTATAAGAGAGACCATATTGCCCATAAAGTCTAAAGAATTTGTTACTTAACTCTGTAGGGAATAAATTTGCTGACCCCTGGTTGACACAGTCACTGTGATTTTGAGGTTTGGATTTGGGTAAAGGGAAAAATGGTTAAAATAGCAACGATTTACCAAGCACTGTATTAGACACTTGACATTGATTATATCCTTTTATTTTCCCAACAAACTTGGGTGCTTTGACCATCCCCATGTTGAATAGCTGGAAAATGAGACCTAGGAGAGAATGAACAATTTGTCCAAGGTCACTTAGGTCATAAGTGGAAGAACTGCGATGTGAATTTGTTCATTTTGATCTCAGAGTCTACCTTACATGCTGTGCCTCCCAGCTCCTGAATTGTGTTCTATTCTTGGTTGATTAATTCAGTTAGAAAGTTTTGCTAATTGTGTCTTAATGGCATCTCCATAAAGTGTTATGAAAAGGACTGTTCAACAAGAACTTTCTGATCCTCGAGCCTTCCTTCCTGAAGTGGGCATGTGTGCCTGGCTTCTCAGCTTTCTTGACCAAATATCTGGGAACTCCTCAGTCCCTCAGTGTACAATCTGAACCCCATCTCCCTGGGGTTCCGAAACCCTTACTTGGCAGGCACAGGGTGGCTCCCTCCTCACAGGTAGGAAAGAAGGCCTGGGCTCTTTACCGGAAAAGGAGGGCTCAGTTCTCCAGGAGGCTCAGGGAGGCTGTGTGTACAGGTCAAAAGCATATTCTCTTGACCTTTAATTTATTCTTGTCATTCAGGCTTACAAGGAATGGAAGATCATTTCTTCCTTTACCCCTTCATCATCTGACTCCAGAGATGGAAACCAGCCATTGATCCAAGTGCCCCTGGAGAAACCCAGCTCTGCTCAGGGCCGGCCCCTCGTGGTAAATCCGGAAATGTACAAGGTGATTTTCTGTCACTTTCTATCATTATTTCAAGATAGAAAATTGTAACAGAGTCAAGGGCCAGCATGTGCTAATGCCACGCTTGCTAACTAGAGCCTCGCCAACCTGTGCTGTTGCCACAGAGAGCCCCCGAGGGCCTGCTGAGGCATCTGCTATACTTCTCTAAAATTTACTTTCTGTATTTTCCAAAATCAGAGTAAATTCATGGAAGCATATCACACTGTCCCTATAGACTAAAGGCTCATCATCTGTGTCCTCAATCTTGTCTTCAGCTCCTCAACGGGGAGCTGAAACAGCTGTACACGGCCATTACACGGGCTCGGGTCAACCTCTGGATCTTTGATGAGAATCGAGAGAAGCGAGCTCCTGCTTTCAAATATTTCACTCAAAGAGATTTTGTTCAGGTCGTGAAGACAGATGAAAATAAAGGTAAGAGCTCGCTCTAGTAGTCTCACTGCTGAGAATGTATATGGAGCATGGAAATCATGGTACCTCCACTGTTCTTATGGTTGGGTGTGAAAGGTATAGTTTTCCAAAAATTCTTTTCGTTTCTCTCTTCTGAGAAATGAGCATTTGTATTTGGGGTGAAGGTGTGTGGGAAAGTGTGGTAGTAATGGAATTGGAAGGGTTCATTCCTTCCAATTAAGGAAGATCTTTTATTTGTCTTTTGAAAGTAAGGGTCATGGACTAGGATCATTGGAAATAAGCCTCCTCAGATGAATACAAATTGCTTCACACATTTGGACAGTTGGTGGACAAGTCTATCAAATAGAGAATACCCATACCTTTTGACTCAGCAATTCATCTTCTCAGAAATCTGAGATGTGCTTGTATAAAATGTCAACGATACATATTTAAGAGTGTTCATGACAGCCCTGTTTGTATTACTGTAAGGAACTAAAAATGGGCTCATTGTCCATCACTGTAAAACTGTCTGCTCTCTTCTGGTGTTAAGAGAGATGTGTGTGGGGTTGTCGAACAGATAGGAACAACTTACCTTTCACCTTTGTAGCTCTCTACTGTCGGCAAACCATTATCATATATTGTTTTCATCATGTACAGAGATGAGCTAATTAAAAAACAATGAAGTTCTCCTGATAGGATAACTAGGAGAGAAATAATCAGCCCTTCATGAAGGAAAAAATTGTCTTTCTTGTGGGTTAGCTGTTGAGTTGTCTTTCCAGGCCATGGCTAATTTCTCCAAGGAGAGGGGAAGGCACAAGGCTGCTATAGAGAGGGCTACTGGGTTTCTTGAGCACTTTGCAGCCAGTTTTATGGAAGCTCTTTCTGAGTACAGACAATGGCTCAGTTGGGGACAAGGATTGGCTGTTCTGTTCCTTGGTCCTGACTATTGTCAGGTAATGGGAAAAGCTGAAGGCTTGGAGTTAACTTCTCCTTACAACTCTCCTCTTGTATGACCACATGACTGTGTTCAGATCCTGCCTTCTCTCCATGGACCTTCACTGCCTCAGCTAGAAGGAAGATGTGTGGGTTGGCCTTGTGTGCTCATTCTTTATCTTCCCTGTAGCTCATACGCCTTTGTTCTTAAAACATAGTCTGGCACCCATTATAAAAAAAATCAGGGCCTCCCTGGTGGTGCAAGGGGTTAACTCTCAACACTGAAGCTATCGGCAGCCACTGCAGCACCAGTTCGATCCCCGGCCAAGGAGCTGACCCAGATGGTGCAGCAGACCTCTCCTGTCTCGCCCGCTGCTCCCCTCAGCAGTGTATTTCAGTAGATCCACCTCTTTTGCTCCCCACTCTGCTGGTAAATCCTCTTACCACCCGTCCCCCACACCTCTGGCCTACACCCCAGATCTTGTGTGCAAAAAATTAAAAAAAAAAAAAAAATCGTCAAAATAGGCAGTTAAAACAAAATCTAAATGAAGTGAAAAAAATTACAATTTATTTTCTGTCTTGATTGCATTGCAAATGCAAGGGAAAAATCCAGTCTTAATTGTGTTGTAAGCTGCACATGGTGAAATTAGAGGACATCTGTTCCCACCATGCAAAGGAGCTGGGATGAGTGTAGTGACCGTGCAATTTGCACTTCTACACTGTGCTGGCAGAGTGCATTAGCCCTATGCAGAGATGCTGTGGGAACAGAATGTCTCTGGGATGCTGAGAATCCACAGTTGTCAGAATAAGAGCTGTAAGTCCTATTTGCACACCATGCTGCTGGCTGGGCTGAGGGCTGGCATGGAGGGGTCAGCCTCCAGCCTTTGTACCTTCAAAGCCAGGCTGGCATGTCTGCCTTGCTCCGCCGTTTTACATCTCTTGGCCTGGGTATATATGACCCCATCAGTTATGATTTGGCTATCTGGGGTGTCCTGGTCTTCACTGTATTCGTGAAGCTGTGATGCAGTGCCCCCACGGTGTCACCCACAGTGAGACTTGGGGACCAGGGAAGGAAGGACTGATACAGTCATCAGCAGGCTAGTGAGGCAAACAGACAGGACCGACAGTGGGTGGTTGCCAAAGTGTGCTTCTGGCAGATTGCTGATCGCAACCAGGGCAGTCTGCACGCTGGGATATGCTTTGAAGTCCTATCAGCTCATCCCTTGCTAGCGCCCTGGTCTGGGAGTTTGCTAGAAACTACATAGTTATAGATTTTCAAGGAGGAATTCGAAATTGCTGCCTGTCTTCTAATTCATAGCCACAGAAAAGGAAGGTAGACCAAAGTTCAAAAACCAAACTATATTCTTTCTCACCCCATCTTGTCTTTCTAAAATCTACAACAACCAACTTGATTAGCTAAATGACATCTTAAATGTATGATATAAAGACAACACAGGTTATTTGATTGCTTGGGTTGCCATAATAAAACCACAGACTGGGGGCTTTCACCACAGAAATTTATTGTCTTACAGTTCTGGAGGCTGGAAGTTCAAGAATAGCAGGTCTGGACCTTTTTCTCCTTGGCTTGTGGGAGGCTTTTCCTCTGTGCAAGCCCCTGATGTCCCTTCGTGTATTAATCTCTTCTTCTCATAAGGACGTGAGTTAGACAGGACAAGGGCCACCCTTGCAGCCTCATTTTATCTTCATCACCTCTTTGAAGGCCCTGTCTCCTAATAAGTCACATTCTGAGATACTGCGGTCAGGGCTTCAACATACACATTTTTGTGGGGTGGATGATGAGGGCAAAATTTAACCCAGAACAGCAGCCAGTGAGTGTCCAGTGGAAGAAATCCACCTTTATTTTTCCTCTTAGACTTGGATGACAGCATGTTTGTGAAGACCTCGACCCCAGAGGAGTGGATCGCGCAAGGAGAATACTATGCCAAACACCAGTGCTGGAAGGTAGGGGCTGGCCCAGCAGCCGTGGGTCAGGGAAGCCCTAACACCAGGACCTCAGCAGGCCTCCAGGCAGGCTTCCCACCTCACACTTGTCACTGGGGTGGGACAAAGCTGATGGCACTTGTGCTACTTCTGACCCATCTGGTTGCCATGACAAGGAGAATGTCCTGTCCTCCTCCGTACCCCATGCATGTGTGCTTGACAGCCCTTCATTCTGACGAGTGCTCATTCTATGGGTGATCGGAAAAGGGAGTGTCATTGCCTTTACCCACTGAGAAATCCTTCTGATTCCTTTCCCTTCTGTATTCTATGCTTTTTAAAAGCCATGCTCCCATCATACTATGTTTCAAAGCATCAGCAGAATGGTCCTCTAGTTTGTTTTTCAAATTGATCAGCCATTGATTTCACTGAAAGTCTGAAGCGAGTGAATGTAGGTTAAAAGTTGGCCAGTTTCCAGCACAAGCCGTCTTAATGAGTCCGAGCAGTCTCCTCTCAGGGGTGTTAGCTCTTTGATTCCCCTTGGCATATTGAGATCAGCCGTGAAGGCCTCCTCCCTCTCCCCAGTCAGCTTCCCTACATATCACATGGTCTTGGACAGGGCCTGTGTGTCCCCTGTGATGTCATGTTAATGATGTCTCTACCCGCTGGTCACAAACACCCTATAAAAAGGGTAGTGGTGGTGTTTTTTTTATCCACTAACAAGAAGTCTGGTCTCAGGGTTGGTTCTGCAGCCCAACATGGGCCTAATCCCATTCTGTCTCCCTGTGCCATCTGCAGCTTGGCCAAGACATCCCTCTTATGGCTGGCAGTGCTCAGCACCCCACTCCCTCAGCAGCATCCAAGCAGGAGTGAAGGGCAGGCACTTTCTTCTCATGGGTCTCATTTTTCATCCTGGAGTCCCCAGAGGACTTCTCCTTATATCTCATTGGCTGTTCTAAGCCCCATGGAGTCCCATCTGGTAATTTCAACTCTTCATGAGAGGCAGGTTCTGCCATCAGACAAGAAAGGGAGGAGGTAGTGCTGTGGGTAACTAAGAGCTGAGCTCAGCTAGTCTCAGCTGGGTGACTCATGTGTCTGAATCGCTGCCAGTCAGCAAGTAGGTCTGTTTGGGGTTGGCTGCCTCTTGATCGGGTTGATAGGGGTGACCTGGTTCATGTGGTGGGCTCCCAGCCCTTAGCAGCTGAAGCTCAGCCTGAGCAGCGGTCAGAGAAGAGTGGAGTCACACAGGGCCTCCTGAGGCCTGGCTGTGGAGATGGCCCAGTGTCGCTTCTGCTGCACCCTTGGCCGAAGCAAATCACAGCCCAGATCTGAAGGAAGGGGTAACAGGCAGCTCTCTTGGAGGGACATCAAGATGTTTTAGAAAAGCAACTTTCCGCTGGAGGGGATTGAGGTTAGGCTGACTCCCTGTGACACTTGTCTGCCTACTTTCTGCACCCTGGAGGGTGTGATGGCTGCAAGGAGGAGGGAAGGAGAGGCCGCCCTCGAAATTAAATGTAAGGGCTGAGAAAGCAGAATTCACACCCTTGCATGTGTGGGTGTGTCTGGAAAACATTTGCATAAGTATGTAGTGTTTAGCTGCAAAAGTGGACAAAACCCCAGAACCTTCTCTATGCCCATCTTTGTCATAATTGGAAAGAAAACTGAACACTTGGCTGTTGTTATAAAACCAAGATTTTTTTTTTTGAGTGGGGTAGGGAGGGAAGGAAAGTATAAAATGGGCAGCAGTGTGGGTGTGGGTGTGCACTGGGACTCAGAAGTCCTTCTCTTCCCTTCAGAACACCGTTGGTTGTCCATGGATTTCCAATACTTTTTAAAAATCCCTTTAAAAATGCCTTTTGAATGTTTGCATCTGAAATCGTAGGGGAGCTGACTCAGATGAGAATGTTATAAAAAGACTTCTCCTTGCCTGACTTTATTTTGACTCTGCTAAAGGACTTCAGGATTCAGGTGGTTTATTGAGTTTTTGGCTACATGCCAATGAATGTTTCAGAAACATTATAAAAAAAAAAACTTCTCGATAGTCATTCATTCAACTTATTTCTGTTTTGCTGTGGGCTAAGCATTGTGTTTTGGTCTCAGGGATTTGATGGTGAGCAAGAGTACAACAGTTCCAGCTGTTGCAGATGTCATAGGTGAGAGACCAGCTGCCCCCAGAACAACCTGTTCTGGCTAAGGAGGCCAGGGAGAGGCTTCTTTGAATAGGATCCTTCTACTGAGACTTAGAGAATAAATGAAGTTAGAAATCCTTTTACTGATGACTATACATGACTGGGTACAGTCAAATGAGAGAATTAAGCAGAGCAGGCAGAAGAGACACTGCTGAAATGAAGTCTGCAGCATTTCAGAATGCGAGAAGGAGCATTTCAATGAGAGAATATAGTATGTGCATAGGTCCTGTGGCAGGGAGGAATATAGTACAGGTTATGGGAATGAAGGAAGACCCCTGGGCCAGGGAGGCTGAAGCAAAAGCCTGAAGGGGAGACTCTCCCACCCACTTTAGTGGCAAGTGCCACTACTGATAGTCCTTCCCTTGCCTACACTGAGACCAGTTCTTGACATTCTGGGCAGAATGCGAGCTTTCTACTCTCTAGCCTATGCTGGTGTCAGCATTTGTTGTTTCAGAAAAGTGACTGTCTGCTTGGTGGGGATTGGGGTACAGGCTGACTCCCTGTGACACTTGTCTGCCTTCTTTCTATTTGGTTAACGCAGAATTTGGTCTGTTCTGTTCTGGGATGTGCTATGGCACCATCTCTATCCCCGTATCTACCCCACCAACTTTAGCCATTAAAGTTACCAACTAGAGAGAGAATCTGTGTTTATCCCCGAGGTGATGGGGCCCACTCTTCTGGTTGCTGACCTGGAGTTGCCATTATGCATAATGAGAAGGACGAAATTCCCGGCACATGACTGTTAGAACACTAATTGGGGGGTCAGAGAGCTGACCCACATATGGCACAGCAGACATTTCCCGTCTCACCCGCTGCGCCCCTCAGACTGTATTTTGGTCAATCCACCTGCTTTGCTCCCCTACTCTGTCTCTGGTGAATCCTTTCACTCCCCGCACCTCTGGCCCACACCCCAGTTCTTTTTTTTTTTTTTAAATAATTTTATTTTTATATTCCCCATACAATTGCAACCCCCCCATTCTGACCCCAATCCCTCCCCTCCCGCCCCGCCCCCCTAAAAGTGTCTCTGGTTCATAGTTTTTTGTTGATTTTGATTTTCACTTTCTTATAGTTATTCATTTTCCTGGTCCCTTATTTAAGTTTTCTAGATTCCTGCTATGAGTGAGACCATCCGGTATTTTTCTTTTTTTTTTTTGGCTTATTTCGCTGAGCATGATCCCTTCCAGCGCCATCCATGTTGCTGCAAATGGCATGTGTTTATCTTTTTTGAATGCTGAGTAATATTCCATGGTGTATATGTACCACATCTTCTTGATCCAGTCATCTATTTTTGGGCATTTGGGTTGTTTCCAAAGCTTAGCTATTGTAAACAGTGCTGCTATAAACATAGGGGTGCAGGTGCTCTTTGGAATTGATGTTTCTGTGTCCTTTGGGTAAATACCTAGGAGTGGAGTTGCTGGATCATATGGAAGCTCTATGTTTAGTAGGTCCAGAAATCTCCACACAGCTTTCCACAGTGGTTGGACCAGTTTGCACTCCCACCAACAGTGCAGAAGAGTTCCTTTTTCTCCACACCCTCGCCAACATTTGTTGTTGCTAGTTTTTTTAATATGTGCCATTCTCACTGGTGTGAGATGGTATCTCATGGTAGTTTTGATTTGCATTTCCCTGATGACAAGTGATGTTGAACATTTTTTCATATGTCTGTTGGCCATTTGCATTTCCTCTTCAGAGAAGTTTCTTTTTAGCTCTTCTGCCCATTTTTTGACTGGATTATTTTCTTTGTTGTTGTTGAGTCTCATCAGCTCTTTGCAGATTTTTGTGATCAGTCCTTTATCATTAGTGTTGTGTGCACACCCCAGTTCTTTTATGCAAAAACAAAAAACAATAGAAGACTAAATGGGGGTGTTCGTGTGGCAGCCTATAAATATGTATTATGTATCTCTTCCATGGCTTCTTGTTACTTCCAAAAGGAACCTGTGAGAAGTGTTAGCTTTATCCTCTGAGGCCTTGGTAGCTGACCCAGCCTCCCGGCCTCTCTCTCTCAGGTTCCACGCGGGGAGCGCAATGCTTCATCAGTGTGAACCTGGAGCGCGGGCTTTAACTCTTGTTCTCTGTGCCCCCTCCAGTGCCTTGCTGGCAATCAGAACCTTCTGCCTGTTTCAGGTTGCAGCTAAATGTTACCAAAAAGGAGGTGCCTATGAGAAGGAGAAACTGGCGCTGGCCCACAACACTGCCCTGAACATGAAATCCAAGAAAGTCAGCCCCAGGTGAGAGTCTCGGCATCAGTGCGCGTTTGCTGTGGTGAGAGCAGCGGGCTACATGTGCTGGGGTTAGGTCACTTCTCCACGGACACTGTTTTGTTTCCCTCCTAACAGGGAAAAGCAGCTGGAGTATTTGGAACTGGCTAAGACCTACTTAGAGTGCAGAGAGCCACAGCTGTCCCTGAAGTGTCTGAGCTACGCCAAGGAGTTCCAGCTCTCTGCCCAGCTGTGTGAGAGGCTGGGGAAGGTACAGCCTGACAAAGGCCCTCTGGTGTCCCTTGAGCAAATTGGGGGGAGGGCCCACAGCCTCTGCTCACGTGAGAGGGTTCCAGTACTTCGAAGAGGGAGAGGTTGGCCTGTCACCTCTCAGGGTGCCCTTCTTTCTCCTCTTGCTCAAGTATTCAGATGATGCCAGAGTGTGTGTCTGTGTGTCTGTATGTGTGCGTGCAGGTATTTGAGAGCTGATATTCACCATGGGGTGGCCACATTTTCAAATCAAAGGAAGATGGGTCTTAGAATATTTTTGTTTCTCTATACTCACATTCTGGAGTCTGCGTGGGTAAATGGCCTGATGTTTCTGTTGCCAGCAGTTGTTCTAGATCTGCGCTGACCAATCTGGTAGTCACAGGCCCCGTGGAGCTGTTTACTTAAAAGTTGAGTTAATTAGATGTAACAAAATAAAAAACCAAGTCGCTCAGTCTCATTAGCCACATTTCAAGGACTCATTGTTCTAGAAATGTTCATAGTACAGGAAGCCCCTTTGGATGGAGCTGCCAGTCTGGAGCTCAGTAGCCCCCAGAGTGGTCAGCAGGTTGGTGGTCCAAAGAGTTAGTCTCAAGGTGGTGAACACAGACAATGAAGGAAGCAGGTCGATGTCACAGCAGACACAGCGTTGATGACTTTCTTAGTGGTTCATTTTTCTATCTTTAAACAGATATAACTGACCTGTAGAACATTGTGTTAGTTTTAGTTTTAATAATGACTTGAGGCAATATCTTGTGAGGTGATCACCACAATATGTTAGCATCCTTTACCCCCCCACACACACAATTGTGCACGCACACACACAGATACACGCTTTTCTTTCTCTTGTGATGAGAATTTTTAAATGTCTATTTTTTTTTTTTTAATAGAGGCATGCTTTTTATTTATTTGTTTTGATGGTTTGCTTGTTTTTTGTTTTTGTTTATACAAGCACTGGGTACAGTCAGAAGCGCGGGAGGGTGAGAGAATTCACCAGAGCCAGAGCGGGGAGCATAGCAGGCAGAAGGACCGAAGTACACTGCTGAGGGGAGCAGCGGGCGGCAGGAGAGGTCTGCGTGCCATGTGGGACCCTCCTCTGGTGGCCGGGGAGCAGCCGGGGATTTCAACAACTTTCAACTCTGCAACACAGTATCTTTAGCTGAGCCGCCAAGCAGTATGTCACACGGTTCATTTTTAATGTGTCGCTTGTGACAGGTTGGGCATGTTGAGCAGCGGGTCTGTGCCCCAGCTGGTGAGAGGCTGAGCAGCTGCCAGCTGCTGCATTGCCCCCTGTGTCAGGTTCCACATCTGGATGTGAAATGCAGTGACATCTGGGTTCTCAGAGCACCCAGGGCAGTGGGCGGGGTGAGGACTGGACTTACTGGGAAGTTTGAAGAGTGGCCCCAAGTTAGTATCAGTTCAGGCCCTCCTGATGCTCCCTGCTTGCCCCCAGTATTATGGGATGTGACTTGCTAGAATGTGGGAGATGGGGGTGCAATAGGAATTTCATTGTGGTAGAAGTTGGGTCCTCGATCGCAAGAACCAAAATAGTTTCTAACCTCTCCATGTTCCCTCACCCCATACACCCATCTCCAGTGCCATCACTTTGGACCCTAAAGCAGTGACAACTGCAGGGGGCAGGCCCACGCCTGCTGCTTTTCCCTCTTTTTTTCTATCAGTTTCTGTCATGACCCAACTGGAGACTCCTTCTTTGTTGTCTCACCTTGCCTCTGCTCTGAAAAGGGGTGGGAGGGCCAGGAGTCCATAAGTCCCCTTTCTAGGGCTTCAGTGCCTTCAGAATATGGAGGTCTCCTGCTCCTGGAGGCGCAGCTCTCCCCTCTCCTTCTGCTCCACAGGCTTTTGACTCCCAGGGGTGACCCTCTTCCCTTCTCTCACCCGTACCTTCTAGCAGCTTCAAGCCCCATCCTGGCAAGATGGTCCTGTTCTTTGCTCAGGCCCCTCCCTGGAAAGGTGTTGGCTTCTCATCTGGCCTCAGACCTCTTGTGGTTATCCTGCCAAACTACCCGCATGATTCAAATTAACCAGCTTGGCTGTGGGCTTTGCTAAAATCTTTGGGCTAAATTGTTCCCCATCCCCAGCTCCCAATCTGTGCAACCCCCAGGAAGAAATGCTAGTGAGGGGACTGTGGGAGTATAAGAATTCCTCTCAGGGATTTCCCTGCTTCTCCTCGTTCTGCCTCTCTCCAGAGGGCAACATGGGTTTCCTGGGAACTCTTGAGGCCCTTGCTCTGAATGGCAGGTGGGAAACTCAGAGAGGAGCTGGTCAGAGCAGGGAGCTGCTGCTTGGAGGCCCTCTTCCTTCTTTTTCTCCAGTTGGATGCTTGCTTGGCCCCTAACAGGGTCTTCATTCACACTCAGGGATTTTTCTTCCAAGTAATCAGCCTTGACAAGGAGCTGAAAAGAGACGATACCAGGTAATGGGGTTTTATTGAGTAGTTCCCTGGTCTGGGAGATCTCTGCACACAGAACAGCCTCACCCCTGTATCTTGTTGGTATTTTGGCATTTCATGTAGCTTGTCTTATTAAGTAAAAACCCAGCAAAGATTTATTAGAGGGCCTGGCATATGTATTTCATTTTGATTTTGTTTTGTCTCTGGGGCTCAGGTGCAGCGAGTTAAGAAATTAAATATTCAACAAAAAGATAAACCCCCTCACCCCCTACTGTGCACAGGCACTGTGGGTGCTCAGCAACCAGCAGGCAACAGAGCAGGGGCCTCTGCTTTTGCAGGACTTCCCTTTGTGGTGAGAGAGAGAGGAGAGAGAGAGAAGCCAATAGCACAGCAGGTATCAGTGGTGAGGGGCTAGGTGCCGGCAGAGAGGGGGTCAGGTGTTGCTGACAGGCGCCACCAGAGAGGTGCCAATTGAGCTGAGACTCTGAAAACAGCTATCAGAGGGCATCTCAGGCCAAGGAATCTTGCAGGCAGGAGCCCCCAAGGTGGGAGTGTGTGGGCGAGTTTTAACAACTGCAAGGAAGCCAGTTCGGCCAGGAGCCAACTGAGGGGGTTAGAAATGGTAAAATGAGCAGCAGAGGGTGGCAGGAATAAAGCATTGGGACCTTATAGTCCATGGCGGGGACTGGATTTTGTTCAGATGTGATAGGGAGCCAGGTGCAGATTTTGATGGGAGGTGGGGCAAGATGCTATTTATTGGCCACTCCGTGGAGAGGTCCACAGGAGCCAGAGTGGAAGCAGAAAGACCAGTTAGGAGAGTCTAGCAGTGACTTAGGTTGAGAGGCTGCCATGATAGGGGTGGGCGGAGTGGGAAGGAGCTGTCCCAGGGAACGTTGGGCCAGCCAAGCAGAAAGCAGTAACTGATGGGCTGGAGTGCCCACTGGCGCTGGCTACCAGGCCATCTCCTGACTCTTCGTGGCCAGGCTCCATTCCCTGGCAGCCATTCCAGTGCATTTAATATATGTTCCCATAGCATGGCTAGCTATAGAATAAATAGTAGTTGTTTCTGTACATCTATACTTTAAGCTTGTCTAAATAGTGCGCTAGCAGCAGGAAGACACAGTGCAGGTTTTCTATGACCCTATAAAGGAGGAGTCCTGGAGCCCTCGGTGGCTCTTGCAGGCTTTTGTTGGGATTTACCAGGTACACAGCAGGCAGGGGATCCTGGGGGCCAGTAGGCTAGTAGGCCTCCCGGCGAGTCCTCACTGTTTCTGGGCTCTCCAGTGTTCTCTTGTGGCCTTGTTTTCTCTCTTCTCATCTTTCTTTTGCTCTCTGTTCCTCTCTCTGCCGGCATCCCCATGATGCTGCCCTTATAAGCCCAGTCTTAGCCCAGGTGAATCCCATCTACCTATGCCCACACCCTATTCCAGGTGCCCGCCATCAGGCATGCGTTCAGGCCCACAGGGATCCATCATCAATCCTAATGGTGAGAGGCAGAAAAGCCTGATACTTTTTTACCTTACTCTACAAGTGCCCTCTTCTTTTTTGTACCTGTGCTACCCCTGGCTATGGTGTTACAGCCTTGGCCTGTTTCTGGCCACTGATAGTGTTCCAATCCACTGCATTTGACTTATCCATTTCCCTGGTGCTGGATGTCCAAGTTGCCATCAACTCCTGGCAGCCACGCACAGTTCTGGGGCCTGTTGTGTCTCTTTCCAGTCCTTGGGAGATCTGGGAGGTGCCTTGCGGGGGCTTGCGGGCCCCAGGGTACTCCTGTACTTCCTCCCACCGAGCCAAAGTGAAAGCCACTTGTTTTTCAGAACAGCCTGTGACTTTGTGCATGAGGTGTTGGTGTTCCCCCACGGTCTTACCACAGTCAGTGGGTTCTGACTTTCTGATTTTTGCAAATTCATCAAATTAAAACCACTGTGATTTTAATTTGCATTTCTCTGATTACTCGTGGGGTTGAACACCTTCACTTGCTTGTTAATCTTTCAAGTTTCCCCCACTGTGAACTTCCAGTTTATATCCTTTGTGTAGTTTTCAGAAAGTCTTTTTCTTATGGTTTCAGGAATTCATTTTATGTTCTAGGCTGGGCTAGTCCAGGAACAACTAGCCATATGTAGCAATTTAAATGAAAATGAAATAAAATTAAAAATCCCATTCCTGGTTGCATCACACATTTCATGTGCTCAGGGTTCACTTGTGGCTCATGGCTACCATGTTGGATAACATGGACACAGGCCATTTCCATCTTTATAGGAAGGCATCCTGGGCAGTGCTGGTCCAGAACTTAGTGTTTGCTCCATTAACTTTGTTTCACATGCCCTTTGTTTGGTGTGATCAAAATCCATTACGTTCTTCCCTGAGGTTTGTGTATTTTGGCTTTTGTTGAAGACTTTCTTTGCCTCAAGGTCCCAAAAGTATTCTCATACATTTTTCTCCGGTAGCTTTCAAAACATGTAGTGCTTTTTTATATTTTTTTAAAGGTTTATTTATTTATGCATATAAGAGCTGGGGTATAAGCCAGAGGTGTGGGGTGGGTGGTGAGAGGATTCATCAGAGACAGAGTAGGGAGCAGAACAGGCGGACTGACTGAAATACATTGCTGAGGGGAGCAGTGGGTGAGACAGGAGAGGTCTGCTGTGCCATGAGTCACCTCCCTGGCTGGGGATCGAACTCGTGCTGCAGTGGCTGCTGATAGCTTCATAGTGCTGAGACTTAACCCCTTGTGTTAAGAGTCAACCCCTTGTAGCACTTTAATTCTTCTGGAGTTGCCTTTGTGTATGGCATAGGTTATGGTTGTACTTAATTTTTTTCCATATAAAGAATTCATTTTGCTAATATTACTTGTGTGTGTGTGTGTGTGTGTCACTGGATTCTAACAAAATAACAGATATATGACCATCCTCTATATTACTCATGATGTTGGTTTATTTTTAAGATTACAATGTTGTGTTATGAATATTCTTAAGTGTAGAATTTTACTCTGTCCCAGATAAGAGATGCTGCCAATTTCTACAAACGAAGTCAGTGCTACAAAGATGCATTCAGATGCTTTGAGCAGATTCAGGAATTTGATCTAGCACTCAACATGTACTGCCAAGAGGAGCTTTTTGAAGAAGCTGCAATTGCGGTGGAGAAGTAAGTGGTTTGCACCCCCACCCCCACCGGCTCTCTGGGGCCAGCCTGCGCTGGCTGGTTTTGTCCTGCTCTTCTGTAGTGACTTGACCATGTCATCTTCCTTTAATTTGAGCCTTGGAGCCGGGTCACGCGAGATCAGGACTCTGGCTTCCACTCTCTTTTTCAGCTTTGACACAGTGTCATGAGGAGAGGGGCAGAAGATAAAGGTTTGTTAGGTGTGTGTATAACACAGTAATTTCATGCTTAATGACAGTGCTGACCTCTCCATTACCTGCTAACTTGACAATTTCCCTGCGGTGTGGATGGCTAAAGGCAAGGGCAATCAGGAATGTGCTTCATCAGGATGTGACGGATGCTTATCTTGTGCTTATACACCTGTGCGAGTGCATAAACCATTGATGTTAGGGTAGGACCGGTACGTTTCATATGTGACCCAGTGGAAGCTTCTTTGAGCCTTTAACCTTAGCTTATATACCAAAGGTGATGTGTAGGGATAGGTGGGGTTAATGGCTGAAAAGGAATTTATTTTTTAATTATTTATTTGTGTGGAAGAACTGGGGTACAGGCCAGAGGTGCCAGGGGTGAAAGGATTCACCAGAGATAGAGTGGGGCAGAAGGGGCAGCTCTACTGAAATACACTGCAGAGGGGAGCAGCGGGTGAGACAGGAGAGGTCTGGGATCGAACTTAGACCATAGGGGTGATAGCATTGAGACTTAACTCCTAAGCCACCAGGGAGGCCCCTGAAAAGGAATCTAGCAACAGCATTTGGTTGATGCCCTGGAAAATCTTTCTGGTGGTATGGGAGAGGTGGAATGACAGAGTCTATAATTCTGTGTATTTTTGCTCAGCAGGGGTTTGAGTCAGCTCTGCTCCCAGAAGAGTAGGCTATGGCTTGATTCTATATTTTCTTTGTTTTCTACCAAATTATACATATGGCAAAATGAACATTACTGACTCAGGTGTTCAAACTTTAAATTTTTTTTAACTTTTATTTTATTTTAAAAAGATAAACATTAGAAAAAGTGTGCATAGCTTGCACAAAATAAATACATTGTATAGCTATCACCTACATAAAGAAGTTTTATATTTGGAAATGGAAAAGAAGCTTGGTATTTAGCATATTCCCTAATCCGGGTCTTTGGTACCATTATATGTGTGATAAATACAATGGGTGTGTATGATTGGTCAGCTTAGGCTGCCATAACAAGACGCCATAGATTGCTACTTAAAACTGAAATGTTTTCTCGTACAGTTTTGGAGGCTAGAAGTCCAAGATCAAGGTTCCAGCCAATTGGGTTTTTGATTAGCACTTTTCTGCCTGACTTCCAGATGGCTGCCTTCTTGCTATGCCCTCATGTGTCCTTTCTGGGGGACAGAGCAGGAGGGGGGGTGAGGGAGAGAGACAGAATACTCTTGCTTTCTGGTATCTCTCTTCTTATAAGGACACTAATCCTATTAGATCAGGGCTCTATTCTTATAAACTCATTTAACCTTAATTACTTTCTTAGAGGCTTCATCTCCAAATGGGGTTTACGGTTTCGACAAATGAATTTGGAGGGATACAGACATTCAGTCTATAACAGGATGCCAGCTGTGACATTCATTGGTACCCACTCACCAGTGTTATACTGCTGTGATGGGAATAATCAACCAGGCCAATTCCCTTGTGAGGCCATATTTTTTGTGCATGAGGCCGTGCACAAAAAAAGACTGAGAATTATTTATATACATGTATATGTGTATATATGTGTGTGTGTGGTCTCGCTTTTTCAGAAGGGCATTGAATAATCATAGATTTTTTTTCCCCTAGAAATATTTTGCTTTGGCCTCTCATTACTTTCTTTATATGTTCTTTCAGCTCTATTGAGGTTTATAGCTGAGAGTTTTTAAGATGTGCTGAGTTGAGGTCTAAGTGCAGTCTGTGTATCAACCAGGGCCTTATGCTGGGTTTATGTGAGTGTCTTTGAAGGCCATGCATAATGGATGTGGAGTGCAATTGCTAACTGGCCCGACTGAGAATGTATGGAGGACATTTCAGATTTGAAGAGACAATACCCGGGGGTAGTTCCTTAAATTCGCTGACACTCTCTACTCCATCAGCCAGGCCGGCATGCGAAGTATATTCCCTTTCCTTCCTCCACCAGGCATCTTCTTATACTGGGAAAGCTGAGGCTGTAGGCTGACTGTGGCGTCATCAGGGCCCTGAGCACGGCTCCGGCTGTAAGGAGCTGTGTTCTGTCCCATGAGATTTCAAAAGCAGGCATGTTTTATTGGGTTGACCCAGTGCTTGAAGACTGGTAGTGTGGGCCTACTGACTCTCATCAGCAGAATAAAGTAGAACCCTTCAGAGCTTTATTAATCTCACCACAGCTCAACCACAGGCGCACCTAGCAAAAGAGAAAAGACAGGTGGGATCATAATAGGAGGAAGACTCACGTAGTCAGTCATTGGTTTGTGTGAGCTTCTTCATCTTTTCTCATGAATCACCTATCTAACTGAACAGGCCGGGTCATATGCCCAAATGTATTGTCACGCTTTTATGAAAGTTTAAGAGATTTCTTTTCAAGGGCAATTTTGACTCTGAATAATTTTTGCTCTCCAGATGGACTTCCAAACTTAATTCTCACTTGCACAGATTGTCACTCCACTATATTTAATTAAGTGGACGCAAAATATTATAACAAAGAAATTCATTTTGTTAGTCTAAATAAGGATTCAGGGGCTTCCTTGATGGCACAGGGGGTTAAAGTCTCAGCACTATCAAGCTGTCGACAGCCACTGTGGTATATGGTTGATCCCTGGCCAGGGAGCTGACCCACATGGCGCAGCAGACCTCTCCTGTCTCACCCGCTGCTCCCCTCAGCAGTGTATTCCAGTAGATCTGCCTGTTCTGCTCCCCGCTTGGTCTCTGGTGAATCCTCTCACCCCCCGCACCCCTGGCCTGTACCCCAGTACTTTATACTAAATAAAAATAAATCTTTAAAAAATTGAATAAACAAATAAAGATGCCCAATAAGTTGATATCTTATTTTGAAATTTTTATCTCCTGTGGAACTTTAAGTTGCTCTATGTTGTATTTTGGACATTTTCTGTTGAGTGTTAAAGAATTGACATTTGTGTCCTTCATCATTGCAGGTACGAAGAAATGCTAAGGACCAAGACGCTCCCCATGTCCAAGCTCTCATATTCTGCCAGTCAGTTTTACTTGGAAGCCGCAGCCAAGTACCTGAGTACAAACAAAATCAAGGAGATGATGGCTGTCCTCTCTAAGCTTGACATAGAAGACCAGCTGGTGTTCCTCAACTCTAGGAAACGTCTAACAGAAGCCGCAGACCTGCTGAAAAGGGAAGGTCGGAGAGAGGAGGCTGCTTTGCTGATGAAGCAACACGGCTGCCTCTTGGAGGCCGCCAAGCTCACCACCAACAAGGACTTCCAAGCCTCGTGTCTGCTGGAGGCCGCCCGTGTCAATATGGCCAAGGGTGTGGATGTGGAGAATACCGAAGCCATTCTGACAGAAGCCCTGGAGCTCTGCTGTCAAACCAATCAGCAGTCTGGCATCGCTGAGGCCCTCTTCCTGCTGGGAGTAATCCTGAGAGACTTTCAGAAGCTCAAGGACGCCTTCCTCAAGTTCGACAGGCTCAACCACTCAGCGGGAGTGGTGGAAGCTCTCTACCAAGCTGCCAGCCAATGTGAGGCTGAGTCTGAGAAGGTCCTGGCCTTGGCTCCGGGGGGCTTGGAGGTTCTCCTCAATCTGGTAAGGGCCCTCAAATGCGTGAATAACAATGCTGAGAAGGAAATGGTCAAGTCCTGCTTTGAGTTTTTTGGGATTTCTCAGGTGGATGCCAAGTATTGCCAGATAGCTCAGAATGACTCCATATTAAGAATAAAATTTGACCTGGATTTGAACTTGAGCGAGAAGAAAACCAAAGACCATTACATGATAATGACTGACCAAGTGAAATTAGCCCTAAACAAACACCTTTTGAGCAGGCTCTGTCAGATCACACAGAGCCTACTTGGAAAGACCTACCCCGGAATCTGCATGAGGTTTATTGTTGGCTTAAAATGTAGGAATGAGAACTGTGAAGATTTTCACAGGCCTTTGCTGCGTTGTGAGGTCAAGCATCTGGTCCAGTCCAAAATGCACCTGGTGGCAATCAATGGGCTGCTTTTGGAAGCCAAAAGAGTATTCCCTAAAATCTTAGCTGAAGAACTTAAAGAAATCGATTATATTTTGTCTGTGGATATGTTTGGCCTTTGCAAATCCTTCCTGAACGTCCTCTTCCCTAAGCATTTTCATCAGAGAATATTGTCAGAAAACCCCATGGCCTGCAAGGAAATCCTCAAGCCCAGTCACAAGTCCTTCCGATCCTACAGGGCGGCTCTAAAAGGATACATCCACTTCCTGTTTCAAAATGAAAGGGCTCGCAACCGCAGGGAGTCTACAGACCTGTGGCTGAGTGCCATGCAGGCTTTCCTCCTGTCCTCCAGCTACCCCGAGGAGTTTGAAAAGCTGCTCCACCGAGAGGAGGACGACTTTAACAGGGAGCTCAAAGCCCTGGAGTCTGAAAAAGAGGAAACAGGCCGGGGGAGAGGCAGCAGGATGAAAGGCATCGAAGGGAAGTTTGGCATGCTGGTGCCCAGCAGGGAAGACGAGAGCGCCGTGAAGACCCACCTGTGCTTCATCCGGCTGCTGGAGAGTTGTATCAACCAATTCTATGTGTACAGGAACCCAGAAAACTACAAGAGGCTCTTTTTCCGTTTCATGAATGTCCTCGTGAAGCGGTGCAAAGAACCGCTCATCCCCAGCATTGGCAACACCGTTGCCCTGTTGGAGCTCCAGTTTGTCCACTGTGGGATGGTCCTGGCCCGCCTCTGCAAGAATGCCATCCTGTGCCTGCCCAAGAGCTACATTTCGCTCTTGCACTACTGGGAGTTCCTGCTTAGCAAGAAGGACAGGCAGCTTGGGGATGTGTTTGCCATCATTCAGGAATATAAACCTAGGGACCTGTCCAGAGCCATTCAGAATTTCCAGTTCCACCTCTCCTACCTCGTCAAGGTGCTCTGTGGCCACGAGAATGTGCACTTCAATGTCCTGCTCGATGCCTTCAGTGAAATAGACTATGTGGTCTCAGGTGAGGCAGAGCGGACACTGGTGCTATGCTTGGTGATGCTGGTGAACACCAAGGGGGTTCTGCAGTCATCCTGCAAGCCCTTTCTGTGCTGTCACTTTGAGGAGATCGGGGCCAGGCTGCAGCAGATGAGCACAGAATGGCCAGATCAGGTTCCGGAGAGGCTGCTGAAAGTGGTGAAGCGGGTGTTGATGGCGGTCGATGTGAAGACCGTGGCTGAGGCTCTGCAGGACCTGCTCCTTGAGCGGGATGAAGAATACCTGCTGGACTGCCACTGGCGGTGGGACAGCGTGCACGCCAAAGGGCCCATGATCCGTGGCCTCTATCATGAGGAAGTCAAACTAAACCGCCTGCTCTGCGTGGGCTCTGTGGACTATTGGGCTGAACCAGAGTGTGAGTTTGGCCAGGGCGAGACAGATGAGCTGGCACTGGAAGGCCAAGACACCCTGATTGCCGACATCGCCTCCCAGGTGCAGCGGAAAGCTTCCCTGTGGCGGAAGCTGAGACGGGTGTACCTGGTGGTGTCCCTGTGCATCAGCTGGAGGAGAAGGGTGAACGCCCAGATGGAGCACTTCAGGGAGGAGAGCAGGGAGCCCGGGGCTGGGAACTTCAAAAAGGCCGACGTGGACCGGACACAGTGTGACCTGTGCGGGGTGAAGTTCACCCGCAGTCCCGAGAGCTATTTCAGCCCCGATACAGACTTTGACGGAGCAATGTCAGAGGCGGTGGCTCTTTCCAGTGCCCAGCCAGTGGACAAGGAAGGTCAGGAGGGGAGTAGTGAGTCTTTCGAGCAGCATATCCTCCTGGTAGGTCACCATTGGCAGCAGGCGGCCTACCAGAAATACTTCAGGTTTTTCTGTGACACAGTGGACCCGGCCTTGGAGGAAGGCAAGCTGGTGGTAGAGGACATCGAGCAGAGTGTGTGGCTCCACAGTCACCCGGGCAGCAAGGAACACAGCCGCGTGCTGCAGAGGAAGGTGCAGGAGAACATCAAGAAGGTTTTGGACAAGGTGGACCATGTCTACAGGCAGAAGGCCTGGGCTGATGGTAAGGGACCCTCAGAAATAGGGGCCCAGGTGGCATTAATACAGACTGGGAGCACATACACCAGAGCCAGGCCTTCGTGGTGATGCCTGACTGGGGGAGGTTGGGAGGTTGGCATTAGCAGATATGTAAGTGAGAGGTGTGTTTCTCAAATTACAACAAAATCCCATTGTTTGGGCCGTCCCTCCTCCAGTTATAAATGTGTGATTTTCTTGGGCCAGGATGGTTTCCCCTGACACTACAGACAAGAAAGGGGCTTGCTGACTAATTCTGTGGAGATGGTAGAGAGAGAATATTTAAAGCCTTGAGGGAATTTTTTATGCTTCTCCCTGTTCATCCCTCCAGGGATTGTTCCTTGATTGCCTGCTACATGCTGAGCCTTGACTAAGAGCTGGGCCGTGTGGCCGGTGTCTTTCTGTTTGGGGGAGTAGGGCTTAAACCAAACCCGGAGCGAACCTTCATGAGAAGAATGCTTATGTGGTGTTTGAATCGTAGTTCTCCAAGCTTCCTTACTTGCTACCACTCAGGAACACTGAGAGAGAGTTAGGTTTTGTATAAAACTAGTGAAATTGAATAACTTTAAAGTATGCTATAATTCAGGCACCCCAGTTTAAGGTTTAAAGACATCTTCAGGTGTCCTTTTGAACAAAAGCGTCCTGGAATGATTTTTGCTATTGGCAGTTTGAACAGACACTCGGGAACGGCATCAGGCTTGCTTTTTATGGTAGTTTATGACTGTGGCAGCGAAGGTGGCTGTGGGTCCTAACCCAGTGCTATCAAGGGAAGCAGAGACCAGCTCTGCGGAGGTGGGAGCTTGGGCCATAGTACTGGGTGGCGAGTCCTTGCAGCGACCCCTTCACTCAGCGCCCTTGTTTTCTGGTTCTGCAGCTGTGATGCTCATGACTGGGCTGATCGACATTCTAATTCCATCCATCAGAGATGCCCAGGAGTGGCTGAGGAAAGCAAAGCTCCACCTGAAGGAGGATGGTAAGGAGCCTTCTCTCTGGGATAAAGCTTTGGGTTTCATGGTTCTCGGTTCTGCTGACTCCCAGCTCATTCTGCAGCGGGGCTGCCTGTGATGTCAACAGTGGCCGCTCACTGTCCGGGAGCCTCACCCAGTGAATCAAATCATCACTCACATCATAGCTCAGTTCCCATCGACTCTGAGGGTGGTTATTCCGGGCTTATGCCAGTTGCTTATTCAAAAACCTCTTTTGAAAAACAAAAAAGTGGGCCTCCCCTGGTGGCGCAGCAGTTGAGCACTGGGCTGTGAAGCTGCCCACAACCTCTGCAGCACTGGTTTGATCCCCGGCCGCGGGCGAGGGTCCCACATGGCGCACAGATCTCTCCTGCCGCCCGCTGCTCCCCTCAGCAGTGTATTTCATCAGTCTGCCTGTTCTGTTCCCTGCTCCATCTCTGGTGAATTCTCTCACCCTCCAGCGCTTCTGACTGTACCCAGTGCTTGTATAAATAAATAAATAAATCCAAAAAAAAGAAAGAAAGAAAAACAAAAAAGAAAACTTCTTTGGCATCTCACAATCTATTATCAATGATGTTCAGTCACTACTCTTTCAAAGTACACAGGCTCCCAGGATAGGGAAAACACTACAAAGCCATCCCTTGATTAGTATGTTTGCCAGCATCAACCATTGAAGTCAATGAATATTTATTGAGTGTTTCTTGTGTATCAGCACTAAACACTTTGAAACCTTGAACAAACTTTGAACAACATAAAAACACTAGGGAAGTGTGCATATATTTTCCTACAGAGGGTTAAAGACCTGTGTAGGGTGAGTCAGGTTTCTCTTCTGATAAGCAGAAGTGTCTTGTCAAGTTCTATGTGATCTGGAATCTTACCTCTTGCCTGTTTCAACTGCTGACCCTGTCTTGGCGGACCTCATTTCTTCCTGATCTACGTATTTCTGTAGCCCCAGATTGCTATTCTGTGAGTCCTAGTCTGGATACTGGAAAATCTGGACCCCAGAGCTGGGGAATACTTGAAGGCACTTTTGTATAAATGTCAGTGCCAGTAAAAAATCTTTAGACTTTAGTCTCTTTGGAGACCATGATTTTTGTGATGTTTCAAAAGGAAGAAAACTGGTATATGAATTCATGTCTTTTTGTTTGATTTCTTTGCCCTTTAAAGGTCATATAAAGGACCTCCCTGGTGGTGCAGGGGTTAAAAGTCTCAGCATCATGAAGCTATCACCAGCCACTGCAGCATGAGTTCGATCCCCGACCAGGGAGCTAATCCACATGGCTCAGCAGACCTCCCCTGTCTCACCCATTGCTCCCCTCAGCAGTGTGTTTCAGTAGATCCGCCTGTTAGGCTCCCCACTCTGTCTCTGGTGAATCCTCTCACCCATCGCACCTCTGGCCTACACCCCAGTTCTTATATACATAAATAAATAAAAATAAAAAAAAAATAAAGGGCATCTAAAATACGACCAGTGAGGGGGTGGGGACCCTTCCTGGTGGCACAGGGAGTTAGCATCAGCGCTATAAAGCAATCTGCAACTACTGCAGCACTAATTTGATTCCCAGCCAGGGAGCTGACCCACATGGAGCAGCAGACCTCTCCTGTCTCACCCACTGCTCCCCTTAGCAGTGGATTTCAGTCAATCTGCCTGTTCTGCTCCCCGCTCTGTCTCTGGTGAATCCTCTCAGCCCCCGCACCTCTGGCCTACACCCAGCTCTTGTATGCATAAATAAATCTTGAAAAAAAAATAATAATAAAATAAGACCAGAGGAACCAGCCTGTAAAAGAACTCAATTCAGAGAAGTGTATTTAGTTTGGGATGGCTCCTCCTGGGAGGCAATATGAGTACTCAAAGAAAAAGCCTGTCTCCTGCACCCTGTTGGAAGGCTTTTCTCCCCCTTTAATTTAAAACAATGATTGCAGAGGCATTAGGCTTTACTAGGATGATACATTCTACAGTGGAGCGGAAAAACTCAACCATGCTACACTTTGTTTTTGCTTTTGCCTTTTACAACAGGTATCGTCCAGGAAGATGATTACGAAAATGATGTTGAGGACTTCCGTGAACTCTGTCCTAGAAAACGTCGGCAGAAACGTGGCAACCAGAGAAAATAACATCCCCACAGCTGCTGCCTCCTAAACCTTCAGAACATTCCATTCTGACGCAGAATTGTGAGCTCTTAGGCAGAAGAGATAAAGAACGTCCATTGGCTTTAGAAAGTAGGGGAGTCTAACAACCCCTTTGCTTTTCGATCTTGCTATTTCTCTTTCAATGGTGGCTTTGGGTCCAATTGCTCCCACACCCGCTGGGACCTCTTAATAGTTTTCATTTTAAAGTGTTTGCGCCAGGAAATCCCTTTGTGGATTCCTCATCTCCTTTCCCACTGCTGCAGTGCTGAGTAGTACAGAGCCGTGTGTGTCTTGGGTCCATGGGGACCCCACTGCCGGCCACCCCTGCCCCAGGCCACACTCTGGTCATCTCCGAGCTTGCTTGTTGTGTAGTCCCTTCCGCTATCCATGTTAGCCTTTCTTCTCTGAGTCACTTTTCTGCTGTCCACCCCACCCAGTTTTTGTGACCATTCTCAGCGACCTGTGCAAGTCAGGGTTAGGCTACCTTAGCCTGTAGTCAGGAATTACCCCCAGGGTCCTGCAGGCGTCCAGCCTCAGAACTTCACCCAGAAGGAAAGGCTGGGGAGTGTTGCTGGGGGACCCCAGCCTGCCTCTCCAAGGTGGTCTGCTTTGGCATTGGTGCAGACATTCCACAAAGTGTGTGTAGCCCTCTTGTCTGGTTTCCTTGGTTCTCCCCGGCAAGTTTGCCCTCCTGGCTTAGGTCGACATTATGATGAGTTTCCACCCACTGAGCTACAGGTTAGGGACATGTGGACATAGGAAACCAGCCTTCCCATGTCAACCTATAGGGATTTGGCTGTGATCACTGCCCGGTGGCTGGTAGGCCCTGTCAGAGGAGGGTGAGGAGGGTGTGGGCCTGTTTGCTGCAGGACATGGCTTTCTCCCACCCTGTTGATCCAGTAGACATCAGGATGATTCCATTTAGGAAGGCTTCCCGCCTCCCTCGTGGGCACTTACCCTTTCCCAGCCCTCAGCTCAGCCTGGTGTGAAAGGCCAGGTCCTTATGGGTCTTTCATTGTTTTGTTATCACAACAGAACCAACCTTTCTCCTCTTGTAGCTGGTGCTTTTGCTGCTCATTGTTTTCTGTTTATTATCTTTCTAAATGACTGTTTCCTTTAGGTGTTTACGTGTCTAATTTTTATTAGGTTATGTTTCCAGTTTTTATTCCAGGTGTTTTTTATAACTTTTACTTGCCCAAAAAAAAAAAAAAAAAAAAAAAAAAAACCCACAAAAAAAAAACCCCAAAACAGAGCCTCATCAAATCTTCCTGTATTACCACATTTTTATAAAGTAAAACCATTTCTCTTACTGTAACTGTCCACGTGTTTATTTCCAACCTTCACTTGGAGAGTGAAAGGTACATCTTGGAGCTGGTTCTTCCTGGTCAGCTAGTTGACCCAGACTCACAGCAGCTGTGCCTCTGACATGAAGAAACCCAGCGACAGAGCAGTAAAACTCAGCCCAGGGACTTGCAGCTGGTTGCAGGGTCTTTTGAGGCCCTCCTTAGGCAGATTCTTTCCCATTTGGTTGCTCCCAAGCTGCAGGCTGTGGCCTGTCAGGAGTTTTGTCCTTGCCTCTGTGAGGGCTTTCCTCACCTAGAACATTGCTTTGGGAGCCAGGGCACCTGCAGTGGAACCCCTGTTCTGGCTCTGGTGGGTCGGATTCTTCAGCGCTCCCTGAGCGCCTAATTGTGTCTCCTCGCTGCTGAGCCCAGGATCCCATGCGGAGAGAGATGTGCGTGGCTTTGGGTAGCAGCAGCACTTCCCTAATGCCCTAGATCTCAGCTTCCCCTTGGGAAGTTGAGTGGTTCAAGACCCTCCGCCTGCCTTGGCCCACAGCGGCTCTGCGGGCTGGCACTGTGGGTTTGAACACCCCAGGTCTTGGTTCTGTGATCTCAGCGTGTTGAGCAGCAGGGAAACCAAGTTTTATGGAGCAGCGTGTCCGATCCTACACGTCGAGGTCCAGGAAGCTCAGAACAGAACAGAAGATCCGTCTTCTGTGTCAGCAGCACCAGTCGGACCTCCTGGAGAGAACTACTCCCAAGAAACTGTCTTCTCAGCGCGCCCAGTTTCCTAGAGGTGGGTGTGGCGGTTCTGGGGAGGGAGTGGAGTTCTGCAGCAGTCAGTCATTCCCAGGGGTGACCCGAGTCACCCTGGACCCAGTCTCCCTGGAAATCCAGAATGGGGTGTCAGGTATCCCCAAGCCCATGCTCGGATTCTGTGACTCACTAGGCGGAGGTGCAGGACTCAGCAGAGTTGTATCCGTGGCTCTGATTTATTACAATAAAAATATCTGCAAAGGAACAGGACACCTGGGCAAAGTCTGAGGACACTGAGAGTCTTTTCCCTGGAGTCACACAGGACACAACCAGCCACCAGTTGTGTGCTCATGTGTGAATGGTGTCGATCAGAGCAGCTTTTTTATTGGGGGCTGGTCACGTAGGAATTTCTGTCCATCTCATATCAAAGTCCCAAAATCTCAGCAGCAAAGTGGGTGTTCAGTACAAACCCCTTGTTTGTTTGTTTTTTTTTTTCAAAGATTCATTCATTTATGCACACAAGAGCGGGGGTACAGGCCAGAGGTGTGGGGTGAGAGGAGTCACCAGAGACAGAGTGGGGACAGAACAAGCAGATTAACCAAAATCCACTGCTGAGGGGAGCAGTGGGCGAAACGAGAGGTCTGCTGTGCTGTGTCGTTTGCTCCCTGGCTGGGGACTGAACTCATGTTGCAGAGGCTGCAAATAGCTTCATAGTGCTGTGCTTAACCCCTTGAACCACCAGGGAGGCTCTAAGGGGGTGAATTTTCAGGGACACTCCATCCTCTAAAAATATCTCATGAGGAACCAACTATTTTCTTAACTGCCTCTGACACTGATTCTACTTCTGTGGAGCCAATGTCAACCACTCCAAATGCTATCTGGGCCCCTGGAGGCTGACTGGGAAAGGGGTGCAACCAGATAGTCTGGTGACTGTCCCCTCTCCACCTCCCATGAGCCATACGCATACTTGGCCGACCTTTCTTAGCCAAGAATGTTCTTTTCCAATCCTCTCTGGGGACAAGAATCCAGTCTCCCAGGCCTCCCCTGGTGGCGCAGGTGGTTGAATGCAGCACTGTGAAGCTGTCTGCATCCTCTGCAGTGCGGGTTTGATCCCGGCCAGCTGGCGAGAATCCCACATGGCGCAGCAGACCTCTCCTGTCTCCCGCTGCTCCCCTCAGCAGTGTATTTCAGTCAGTCTGCCTGTTCTGTTCCCCACTCTGTCTCTGGTGAGTCCTCTCACCCTCCCGCACATCTGGCCTGTACCCTGGTTCTTGTATCAATCAATCAATCAATCAATCAGTCTTTAAAAAAAAAAAAAAGAATCCAGTCTCCCAATGACTAATGGAAGGAAGAAAACTGATGTGAGAACTAAAAGCATCCTAAGTTCTGTGCCTGCACCTTAGAACTTGGCCAAATTGCTGGTGGGGAAACAGGTCCAGATGATGTATCTTACCTGGGGCTGCAGAGACAGCCTGGGGCAGGGTTGAGATGTGGGTTTGTGATGCTGGCCAGAGATGGCCCCTCACTGTTCCATCCCATCCTTGTATGTGTGTATCTCTCCACCCATCAAGAGGTGGGATCTGTCCCTTCTCCCCTAATGACTTGCTTTGGCCAACGGACTGCTGCAGAAGTGACACTGCTTATTCCTGGTCTGGCCTTTAAGTGGCCTGGCAGTTTCAGCCTTTCTTTGGAATAATCTAGACGCTGAGTAAGAACTCACCTACCCTGAGACCACCAGGTGTGAGGAGACCCAGGCTAGCCAGGTGGACAGGCCACTTGGAGGGTCCCTAGGGTACCATCATATGCGTGTAGTCTTTTAGGACATTTTAGTCCAAGTGCCTCCAGAATGGGGCCAAGGCAATAACCCTAGAAGATGCCACATGAAGTAGGGCCACACCCAGCTGAGACCTGTCCAAATTTCTGACCCCCAGAATCATAAGAATGAATAAAGTGCTACTGTTTTTACTTTTGGGTTGTCTTTTTACAATAGATAAGTGTGTTAGCTACATTAGGGATGTTGCATTGAGATTGCTAAATCTTATAATAACTAATATATATATATATATATATATATATATATATATATGAGGAGTTTGAGGTCAGTGAACAGAAGTTCCTCCCTTGATTACAGTCTGCCATTGGAAGGACAGGGCTTCATATACCCATTTCCCTGACTTGATGGGGATCTTAGTGCCCTAATACCTAGTACCTAGAATCCTAGAACATCCCTGGGACCAAACATTTTCCATCTTAGCCACCTCTCCTCTGGACCCTGACATCCAGCTGGCTGTGCTGGCTTCCCAGTAGCTGTGGCTTGGTTGCCTGGGCAACCTGCAGGAACAGATACTCTGACCAACATAATAGGGGTTGTGGGGTTCTCTCCACTCAACTCTTGGGTTCTGCTTCTCCTGGGAAACTGGCAGCCAACACTGCTTCCTGTCACTTAAGAACAGGACTGCCCCTATCTTTTAGGTCCAAGGTAAGAATATAGAAAGACCTTTCCCCATCTCTTCTCATGCACCATGACAGTTTTCCTTGCACATGTAAGGGTATTCCAGTTACACATCCAAGCTCATTTCATGTCTGCACCCCCTTCCTCCCCAAATAGCCACTCTGGGCCACCCCTGGCACCCAGCATACCAGCAGGGAAGAGCCTAGCATCTCACCCCTACACACACACACACACACACACACACACACACACACACACACACACACACGATTCTCCCTGGTATCTCACCCCTGCACGGCGCACACACACACATGGACACGCGCGCGCGCGCGCTTCTCCCTGGTCTGGAGATAGCTTGGATAGCTTGATAGCACTGAGACTAACCTCTGCGCCACCCGAGAGGCCCCTCCCTGGTCTTCTGTAGCAGGCTGACCCAGGCCTTAAATGTGTTCCTGGATCAATACTATGTAATCCAGACATCTGTGTCCCTGGAGTCATCCTTAAGCCCATGACCCAGAGGAAGGGTGAATCAATGACGCTCTTCCCTCTGCTCCATATCCCTCCTACACATTTGAGACTGGGTTGATCTGGTCTTGGCACTGTAAATATACCTCGGAGATTTTGACTATTCAGTGTAAGTCCAGAGAGGTAGCCTGAGTGAGAAGCCATCTCCCTCCCCGGCCACCCCCATAATGGCACAGAGGCTAAGAGTTGAGTGAAGAGGGGAGACTCTGTAGCCTCATAGACTTGCATTCCTCATGGCAGCAGAGAAACCAGGTCTGCCAGCACCAAGGACATCTTCACTCCCACCTATCCACACAAGAAGACTAGATTCCCACTCGCTGGCACAGGGAGTGCAGAATACATGAAAAATGTACAAGCGTCCTCGTGGTGGGTTGTTTAGAACTCTGTCTCCTGGTGCTGCAGAATTCTAACCCTATCTAAAATTCGACGTCTGCATAGGACACATCATCTACCCTCCCTGTTGGGGCTGCGGCATGAATATCTTATAAAACCTTTGGGGGGATGGGCATTAGGGAAGCAGGATGCTGTCACACAGTATCTCTGCAGTGAGATGCAAGATTAAAATTTGGCTTCTTATACTGGCTGTGGGAATTCAGACTTGTTGTTTAAAGTTCCTGAGCCCATTTGGCCATTTAGAAAGGGCAAATAAGGACACGAGCTTGAAGTTTGGTTGTAACTGCCTTATCCTCTCCCCTTCCCACAGGGATGGGATCTCTTTCCATGGCAGGGAGGGTGATCAGGAGCACTGAGGGGCTCTGGGGACAAAGCTGGGTCAGTTTTGTATGCTCTTCATGAGAAGGAGACATATCTCAGTGGACTCTGCTCCCAGGGACCCAGCCTTCTCTTAGAGACTGAGGCTATTTTTAACCCAAGTTTTAGAGATTCTGCAGGACAGCTGTTTCAGGGAAATATGTAGGCCAGTCTGTGATATTTGGAGTCATCATTTTAAGGTTAGGGAGTGGGATGGGGGACTAGAATAACTCCGGAGTTTCCTGAGGCACCACAAGAGCTACACCTACCCCGCAGAACGCTACAACCCAAATTTACGCCGAGGACACTCTGAGTCTGGATGGGCCAAGCAGATGGACGTCCTTTTGTTGCACCTCAGGTTGAGTGCCAGTTTCTGCTCACTTCCATCCCCACTTGCCATCACCCGGTGACGCTGGAGAAAAGATGAGCAACGTCTGTGCCAGAGGCTGTGGGAGAAGGGCACTCCCTGCAGCGGGCACACACCCAGCACAGCCTTCGCACAAGGCACTTCAGCAAGATCCACTAACACTGAAAATGGACTCAGCCTTCTCACTTTTTGTTTTTTAAGCTATTATGTTTAATTGCAGTAAAACATACCGTTCACCATCTGAACCTTTTTTAAGTGTACAGCTCAATCACGCTGTGTATATTCACATTGCTGTAAAGTAGATCTCCAGAGCTTTATTTTTTAAAGATTTATTTATTTATGCATAGAAGAGCTGGGGTGGGGCCTCCCTGGTTTCACAAGGGGTTAAGCACAGCACTGTGAAGCTATACCCACATGGCACAGCAGACCTCTCCTGTCTCGCCCACGGCTCCTCTCAGCAGTGTATTTCAGTCAGTCTGCCTGTTCTGTTCCCCACTCTGTCTCTGGTGAATCCTCTCACCTCCCGCACCTCTGGCCTGCACCCCCAGCTCTTTTATGCATAAATAAATGTTTTTTTTTTTAAAGCTGAGGTGTAGGCCAGAGGTGCGGGAGGATGAGAGGTTTCATCAGAGAGAGAGTAGGGAGCAGAACAGGCAGGTATACTGAAATACACTGCTGTGGGGAGCAGCGGGCAAGACAGGAGAGGTCTGCTGGGGCATGTGGGTCACCTTCCCAGCCACTTCATAGTACTGAGACTTAACCCCTTGCACTCCCAGGGAGGCCCTCCAGAACTTTTTAATCTTACAAAACTGAAGCTCTGGACCCCTGAGCAACACCCCCAAACCCCCTTCACCAACCCTGCCAACCACCATTCTACTTTCTGTCTCTAGGATGTGACTAGCCAAGTACCTCATAGAAGTGGAATCATGCAATCCCTGCATTGGGATTCTTTCCCATCATGTTGCTGGGCTTGTTAG